ATTACGAACGGATTCAATGAATGCTTTCTACGAATTTCGAATTTACGTTCGTAGCCATTCGGATTCTGTGATAGAACTTTCGTAGGTTTCACGAAAATCGACGCTACGATGGATTCTGTGATAGCCCTGACTATGATTATTTATTTTATTTTTCAAAATATTTCAATAAATAAACTATATATATGAATTGCACTAGCCCATTTGGCCATTTAGTTAGGTCCACCTAATGTTATTCATACCTGGATATATGTTTTTGTTAGTTTGACCGCAGTTTCTTCAAAAATGTATTGCCTAGTCATGTGCATTTTGAGTAGCTAAACATTCAATTAGCTAAAGTGGGAAAAGCTGAAGTTATAAATTGATACGAAGTGAGTAGATATCAAAGTTAGGTAGTGAGAACGTTACGTTTACAGCATCTTAAGTTATAGCTGCTTTGTATCAGATACAATGTGTGTTAGCATATACCCTCGATCGAATATGAACGATTTCACTCTATTGCTTTTTGTACTACACAAAGTCATTCATGCGAAGTTGGCCATCATTGTGCGTTAGTCATGGGCAGGCATGGGCAGAGAGTTAGCAGGTGCTAAAAGAGCGTAAGCGTCGCGTGTACGTATAAAAGCGAGAGCGCAGCGATGAGAACACGACAGCATGCAAAATGAATTACGTAAACTAACACATTCTCACTTTTAGCTCACGCTTGTTTGTCGTAGTGCCCACCTCTGGTCATGGGGAATAGGCATGGAAGTTGTTATGCTCCGACGATGAAAAGTGAGGTGGAAATTATTAATAATTTGCACTACCTGGCATACATATATGTATTTCATTTCTGGCTTGTTTTCCCATCAGCCGGTGGTTCGTTCCTGCATTCAACTTAAAAAGAAATCAAAACAGAAAACCGACTTCATTGTGCCTATTTTTTTTTTCGTTGAAAAAGGGCAGATTCGTTCGATAAAAAAGTGCTTAAGTGGCTCATTGACACTGGATTGGATTGTGATTTATTATTGGCAGTGGCAAAGTGATAACAGCGGTTGCTTCAAGAACGACATTATTTAATCAATCAGAATATGTCGATCGAATGATATGTGGGATCTACATACTGGTATATAGGTAATACTGTCAAAATGTGTAATCTATTGCCTCTTCATCATACTTAAGTACCCTGCAGTGAAAAATTATCAATTGTTAAAACTAACCAACTTATAGTTAGCTTTTTGGCGAGATTTCGATTAATACCTCACTTTTAATTAGCTACGACAAAACCAACTTCAAGTGAATTGTAAAGTCGTGCAGGAGTCATGCAGACGCAATCGGGAGTTGGTTTTCTTTACAAGTTTCTATTAAATATCCTCATACAAAACTTACTTTCAATACACTTTTTTTCTGAACTTCGCAGATTCTTTTTCATATTCAGGACAAATAAAAGGAAGATCGAAATTTTTTACTATAATTTTGAAGTTATGTCTGACGGTGTTCGAATATGGGGCCACCCAGAGCAGAATATGTAAACAAATATGAAATGTAATAAAATAAAGTAAATAAATAAGTAAATAAAAAAGTAAAAAAACAAAAAAATATTTTGTTTTTCTTATAGATATTTTATGTCCAAAAGTAGTTAGTTACAAGTTAGTTGACATGTAATGCAGAGGTATCCAGGTCTGACTTTTTTGCGGCCATCGCCCCACAAAAGTAGTTAGCTTTTTTCGAACAAAATACACAGTTAATAGTTAGCACTAGTGTTCGCGTAAACAGACTAAAGTTAGGTATAAGCTAATGTCACTCCCTGCAGGGTATATACGAGGGTAGGCTGGAACTTTATTGTTTTTGTAAAAAATAATACTTTTCTGAGCCGAAGTCAATCAGAATGGAATAAAAAAAAACTTTGAAACATTACATTTCGCCCACCATTTTATAAATGGGTTCATATAAAAGACGCTTACAGTGAATAAACTAATTATATGAAAATCGATGAACCATCACATTACAACCAGGTGCAAGTTTCAGTTAATACTGTAGGCTCGATAGCTCCAAAGAAGAGGCAAGTATTTCCATCTACTGCAAAGGTTACAGAGATCATCTTGAAAAATAAGACGTTCATGTATGAACGTTTGGGGGTCTTAAAAAAATATCAAAAATATGGACACCCCTTTATTTTGCTCTACATACAAAATAAAAACATCTAAAAACTATCAGTCTTAAATAACTGAAAAATTATTTCAAATTTTAAAATTTCCGTGGATGTCTTTACTTTACTTTACAATAAAGAGGTGCCTCGTAAAAAATTTAGTTGTTGATATTTTAAGCACCACCCTAATGTACACACATCTATTTATAAGAAGAATATCAGGTTCTCACGAAATTTGATGGCAAAGCATTAGGCGATTCAGTTCCATGCATAAATAGGTTAGACTAGAAATTAAACATTAATTTTATTCCATTTTATTCTGTTTTTGGGGACCAGTAAACGACGTTTTCATAACCACTTCGGAAATAGTTCAGAACTATTTCAGGATCATTTCGAACTAAGCCAAAATTGTTCTTAGGTAATCCTGAAGTGGTTCTGAAAAAGTCGTGAACTTGTCCCGAAAACATTTAAAACAAACTTAGCCCCCTAAATGATCCTGAGCCGAAATAAAAAGTTTGGAAAAGGTTGTGAAATGGTCACTTATTAGTCCCAAAATGATTCTGAACTAATCGCACAATGTTCCTAGATAAGTTCTCAACTACTCCCGAAATGGTCTTAAACTAGTGCCAAAACGGATCCGAACTAGTTCCGAAGTTTTCGTGAACTAGCCTTCGAATAGTGCGTTGAATATCAAACCTAGCGTATGTATGTAAGCTAAGTTATATTCCGGGGTGTTTTATAATGGAGTTGCCACCTTTCTGAATAATTGGATTTAAATATATGATTATAAGTGTATACACTAGATTCGAATCTCGAACAGTGCTGGAGAAATTTGTAGTACGGGTAAATACATATACATACATACATTTTTGTGAACAGGGTTGCTATCCACGTATATGAATTATGAAATAATTTGCTAATAACATAATAGTTTCAAACAAAAAGCTATTTGGGCGTATATTGAAGCTATGGTAAATTCTATGGAATAGGGTTGTCATTATAAAAGTTAGGAATAAAATTCAAATAAGTTAGATAAGCACAATTTTCAAATATGCGCTTCAAATGAAATGGGTTCACCAATTTAATTATCAATATTTTGGAGTAGGGTTGCCATCTGAAAATTTTCAAATAAATTAAGACGTTATTTTCATTTTAATTTTATTCATATTTATTTTTATAATTATTAGTTTACATTAAGCAATACAAAATATTAATAAGTTTTTTTTTTCGTTTTACTTTCAAACATTTCTTTTTAAATACAATTCATTTTTAATAATTAAAATTTAACTATTGTTTTTAACAATTTACATACAATCATTATTATTGTCAATCGCGCTGTGTTTTTTCTTTATATAAATATCTATGTGTAGTTATATTTGCTGCCAGTGCAAAAAGTTTTCCATGTGTATTGGGCAAAATATTGCCTTTTCGATGGAATTTTAAGAATTATATTTTTGAAGCGTAAAGAAAACTAAAAGTTGCTATTTAAGTATTTAAAGTAAATTTGTAAATATGGCGGTCAAAATTTTCGAAAATTATTTAATACAAATTTAGTTTATTGTAAAATTGTTTTTTTTTTTTAAATATTCTCTTTTTGTGAGTTTTGCCTGGCAATGGCGTTATGAACGAAATAAATTATAAACAAAAACCAAAAAAAAAAAATAAGAAACAAATCCTATACAATGCGAAAATTCTAAATTCTATTTACAGTTGCTTTTAAGGTTAGATTTCTATTAACTGCTAACATTGCTGGCTAAAGCAATGAAAGTGTTTTGTTGTGTGTGTTTATTTTTTTGTTGTGTGTCTTTCGGTGTGTGGTGTGTGTTTTTTGTTGTTGTTTAATTTTTTAAATTGTTTTATTTTGTTGAAAGTAAAAATTTAACTTAAAGTAGTGACTATACATTTCGATTCGTTTTTTTTTTTGTATGTTTCGTTCTTTTTATTTTTTGTTATTATTCATTTTAGAAAGTTTCGCTATGCCGCTTAGCTTTCCAAACGCTTTTGACTCAAAGGCACAGCGTAAATTCAACGCAAACACGCAAGCAACCAAAGTTCGCTGCACAGTTGCTGGCTGTTGCGGTGAGTTCACGTCGTTGCCAGAGTGTATGTAGGCGATGGTTGTGTGTGGGGGGGCGCGAATACTTGTTTTAAATAATTTTTTTGGATTTTTTTTTTTTAATTTTTTAGTAGTAGCGTTTTTAGTAAAGTTTTACACATACATATATCGCGTTTATATTTATTTATATATATATATATTTACTCATAATTTGCGTACGCACTTCGCAATCACAACAAGCATACATTAAGGTTTAAAATTAAATAAGGAAAAAAACGTTTAAATAAAATTAAAAAAAAAAATTCATTAACAAAAATAATTTTTTTATAAAAAAAGATAAACGCACTTGACTAACACGCTTTTGATTGGTTATTTTAGATTTCAAATATTTTTAATATTATTATTTTTTTTATGAAATGTTAATAGTACGCGTTAAATATTTAATAGTTAATACATTATATTAAAATTAATTAAGCAAATCCTCCATTAGTCGCTTTGCGGATAGGCAGAAGTATTAAAAAATGTATATAAAATTTATTGAATAATAATTTTTTATAAAAAATCGGAACAACGTTTAGGCAGCTATTTTATAATTTTTTTGTTTGTAATTTTTGATATTTACAAAAATCCTGCGCAAAAAATGCAAAGAACAAGGCATCATGGGGGCAGCTTGGTGGGCGCAAAATTTTTTCAAGCCTTTTATTTTTAGCTGAGGAAATGCTTGGCAGCCAAGTTGTTTTTGGTTTTTATTGTTGTATATATGTATGACTTTTCGTTTGCTTTCTCCAGTGCTTTTTTTTTAAGTGTTCCACAATTTGTTGGTTGTTTTATTTATTTGCCTTTGTTAATAAATAAATAAACATCTCTTATGCTTGATTTGTTGTTGTACAAAACATTTTAAATTATTTTTCGTTTAGTCGCCACATTCGTTTAACTGCAGTTGCTTCAACATAACCTCCTTAGCTTCAAACAGGTTTGAAAGGTTTTAATTTTTTAACTTCCTTCTTTTATAGAAAGTTGTCTCAAGACGTTCTCACAAAGCTTCTAAAAGGTTTTTTTTGTTCTAACTTATTTGTTGTTGGCTCTCTTTCCACCACTTTCGGTTGCTTTCGATGCTTTCCTTCGTAATTTCTTTTCGCCGCGCTCTTTTCTTGACCTTCTGCCCCACCTTGTCTTTGCTTTTTGGAGTATTTTTTTTCTCCTTCTTGCATTGTTCATTTGATTCTTCGAGTGTCTCAGGGCAGTTTATAGTTTTCTTCATTTATATTTATAAATTATAGGAAAATTTTATAGCATATATACATACACCTATAACTATTTACTTAGAATGTGCGCTGTGTTTTTTTTGTTTATTTTTTCTATGATACAAGTGCATATCTAGTAGAGGTCCACCTAACCTAATCATATCTCTCTAAAGTGTTCCACTTTTTGTTTTTAATTTATTTGATTGCATACAATGAACAACTCCGCTATACGGCTTTCGTATACTTTTGTTAGTGAAAGTAGCGCCCAAAAGTATGCAGTATTCGAGTCTGTGAAACGGTTCACGAGTTAGATGGTTAGGCCAGTGGATTGAAGTACAGCATATACAAAATATACAGAAGAAGAATACAGAATTGCAGTATAGTCGGTGATGAGGCAAGCGCTCTCTCTAGCTGCATAGTATTCTTAATCAGCTGAAATCAAGATCAGTATCTTCCTTCTTTTTTGACGTGGAATTGCCAGTGGTCATGTTCTTTACAGTGAACAAGTTGTTCCGGCCGTCATCATTTTATATGCATTCGTCGCTGTCGTTGGTGAGTTCCGCCTGCTCTACTCTGATCAAATTAGTGCGGCCGCCATAGAAATGTCAATGCCTCTTCTGTATACTGTTTATTCTGTGTTTGGAGGTAGCCCACCACCTACAGAGTTTTTCATGTGCGTATGTATTTATATATGTAAATAAGTATGTATTATAATAGTACATTTGTTTTGCAGGGAAGACAAGTCTTTAATTACTAATACAATAGTGGCATATGTCAGTGGTAGCGTAATTGTATACATACTATTTCCTTAAGTATCCATACAAATATGCTATTCGTGCTTTTCGACTAATGAAGAAGTTGTATTTGTTAGATGAGAATTCTTTCGTAGCCTGGCTATACCTTTCTGCAATACTTCAGAAAAGAAAAGAAAAAATATTTTTCTGAGGTATTGCGTTGATTTCCTATTTCTATCACTTTCGCTTTCTTTTTCCCTTTTTTCGCTCTTTTCTCTTCTCTTAAACACCTTCTCATGCCCGATAAGCCTTTTTGCCTTTTTCTTCAACTACTAACTATGCGTAAATGCCTTTGTGCTACTCTTTCTTCTACATATGTATAGTATGTTTGTCTATAAACATAAGCAGTGTTATAGCTTTGGCAGTTGTTCATAGTTATTTTTAAAAATATTTTTTTCTAACTACAGTTTTTTGTTTAATTGCGTACTCCTATTAAAAAAAAAGTAAAAAAAAAAAATTAAAAAAGAAAATATCTGTACAAAAAAAAAAAAATTAAAATATTTAAATGTTATTTTAACGCATTTATCGCATACTTTGCATTGAAGAAAAATTCAAAAAGCTACTTGAAATTCTCATTTTAGTTAAAATACGAGCGCTCGGTAGCACTTGACGTCTAATTAGGCTAGGCTACGCGCTACGCTCTTTAGGAATGTCATGGTGAGTTGAGGAAAAAATATTTACTTATACATTTACATAAAGTATATAATACACTCTCAGTTACGCGTGATTTTTTCATACGAAATCATAACGTATTTTCGTAAATTTTGACACATTCTGTTTCATATTTCTCTTTCACTATATTTGGTTGTGCTCGCTTAACGCTTTTGTTTTTCTTTGCGCTCATTTGTTTACCTTTATATTTCAGATATTTCAGCAAATCGTTAATCAATGAGCACACGCGCTCTCGCAAACTTTTTGCACGAGCTTCTTCTCTCTAGCTATACAAATTCTTTTACTTTTTACTAAATTACATTATGATTCTTTCATTTTATCATCTCTCATCAATTTTGTTTTGCTTTAAATTTCTTAACTAACCTAAAAACTAGCATATTTACTCGTTCGTTTTTGATTCTTCCTTAAGATAGATAGTCTGGTGTTGGCTCTGGCACAGCTTCAGGATTCGCAAATAGCGGATTGGGGAACTCTGGCGGATGCGGTAGCGGCGCTAGTGTTTTTGGTCGCCGACGATAGGCCATTAGCCAGCAGGATACGGCCACTGCGACAGCTACCAAAGCCAATAGAGCTGTTATCACCAGCGCTATTATCAGCCCCACCATGGAGACGCAAATGTCTTCAACGCGTTGTGCGGCGGGTTTGACTGTAAAGAAGAGAAAATTGGAAAACAATTGTTAACAAACTTGTGAAACGTAATCGCGCGTGTGCGCGCTTTCCTCTATATTTCACTTTCGCGCTAATACGCGCTCTATCTCTTGTTCTGGCGCTTCAAAAACGAGCGCCTTTCTCATTCGCGCTAGCCCACACGCTTCTGTCTCTTTCTCTCTCACGCATACCACTTTTCTCTTTCGCACACACAGGCTCTCTCGCTCTTTAACGAGCTTTTTTCCAATGTCTTCACTACTTTTCTCTTCCATACATATTCACTTTGCCCTTTCCTCTCTCTCTCTCTCTCTAGCTCTCTCCCTACTTACTATTCGCATCATTGATGCCTGGACCGCTGCGCTTCTCGAATGTCAATATCGCATTCGATGATATGGTTATCTCTTCACGCAATTGTCCTTCAACGCCAGTGTTAGTCGCCACCGCTGTTGTATCTGTGGAGTTGTCCGCAATCGCTCGTCTTCTTCTACGCCCGAAAGCGTTATAGCCGCGGCAATTAACCGGTTGGCATCTACCAAAGCAGACGCGTATATTACATTGGAAACGTATATTATCACTGGAGGGGAATTTGAAGGCATTAAAGTTGGCCATGAGGCTGTTGGTGTCCGGATTGTATTCCCATTCGCCAAAGATTGAGGCGTCGGTGGCGCAACCATTCTCATCGGTTACAATATACTCATTCTCCACATTATCCTCCATTGTTTTGGCAATGCAAGAACGCGCGAAGCCACCATAGATTGCTAAAAATAAATGAGATCGAAACCAAATTTAAGTTAAGTTCGAAAATGCACGCGCTCTCAGAAATACTCACTTGCTGGTTCTACGTCTACTTGCAGTTTGAGATTGTCGCCAATCTCCGCCGAATTGATCTCTTCGCCTTCGTGCGTAATGATGCGCATTTGACAGATAGGCGGTGGTCCAGTGTTGGCAATTGTACCTGCTGTGGTTAGCATGGATACATTGAAACCGAGCGTGACATTCTTCTCACCCGTCTGGTAGACACATTTGATGTTGTAAGCTTGCGCTTTGTAAGTGACCAATTTAGGATGTTTCTGTATGACCAATACAAAGCTGGCAATATCTTTCACAGCTTGCATGCCGCAACTGCCGAAGTGCACACGGAAGATTTCGGTTCGTGGTACGCTTTCGCCCGCCAGATTGACCACCCGTCGACATTCTTCATCCTTGCTGTGTCCCTTCACGTAGAGCACACCATTGAAACCGGGTTCGGTAATGTGTATTTCGACTTGTACACCGTCAGCCAGACAGCTGACCAACATATCAGGTCGTGGGAAGTCCGTCCGGAAGTTGGTGTGATTGCAGATGAGCTCTGGATTACCGGTGTAGCCGGTGATGCATTGACATTGCGCTCTATGATTGATAGCATTACAGAATGCGTTCACGCCGCAGACCTTTTGCAAACATGGATCCTCGCAGGTCTTGGTTCGCGTGTTACAGTAGCGATTGTCGGCGCAGTCGTCATTCGTTTCACAGCCAGGTTGGTCTTCGGCCACGCATTCGCCGGCAGGTGTGAGTCGGTAGCCATGGTCCGTTGGGCAGATACAGCGTCCACGTTCATCAATTACCATGCCGCGTTCTAGCGCGCATACACAGCGCCCATTTTCGTCAATCTTATAGCCTTTTTGTGGCAGGCAGGGTGTGCAATATTCGTAGATGTCCAAAGCAGTGCCTGGTGGGCAGATACACTGACCGTCTATGTCGCGCACAAATCCCTTCTCGATCACGCACAATGAACGCTTATCGCACTGTACGGCTGCGTTACCAGTGTAGCCCTCCAAGCATTCGCAAATCATTGTACGCACTGGTACTGTATCCAGCACGCGACAATCAGCATTCACGCCACACGGATGTGTTGCGTTGCATGGATTGACGCATTCGCCGCGTATGCAAGCAGTTTGGCTCGGACAATCGCCGTCGTAGGTGCAAATTGGTATTTCGCGTAGTGGCTCGCAACCATTGCGGCGCGCAATAGTGCCTGGTGGACAGCCACATTCCGGACGATGGTTGTAGACTTTGCATATTTCGTCATATGCACATACAGCTTTCGTCTCGCATGGGTTTTCACATTTTCCATTTACACAAGCCTTATCGGACGGACACTCGTTGTCAGCGCGACAGCCGAGTGGTGTGCAAGCGATGCGCGCATTTCCGCGGTAGCCCGGCACACATTCGCACACGGCGCGGTGGTCAACTGCCAGACACTGGGCATTCCTGCCACACTGCTCACCTTGACAGGCAGGCACACAAAGTTGGTTGCGGCAAGCGTGCGTCGCTGGACAGTCGGAGTTGATGGCGCATTCTATTTTGGAGCACTCAAATTCTGGATTTCCTTCATATCCTTGACGACATGTGCATACAGGTTTATGGTCCTTGATGCGACACTCGGCATTCAAGCCGCAGTTGCAGGGATCGCGGCAGACGCCATTAACACAAGATTTATCTGCAGCGCAGTCGGAGTCGGCAATACAGCCGCCTACATCCACTATGGTCTTCGTTGGTTTACAAGTGCCGCTACCGCTGCTGATATAGCCATCGGGGCAGATACAGATCATGGTACGCACTGGCGAGGTCGGGGTAACTTGGCATTGAGCAGGTCTGTTGCACGGTTCGAGCGTGAGACAAGGGTCTACGCACTCATCGTTGATGCAGGCCAAAGTTGCGGGGCAGTCTGTATCTACTCGGCATGTGGGTTGTGGTTCTGGACGGCAATCGACATATGGATTTCCTAGGAAGCCAGTTGGACAGCGACAGACTGCCAAGTGATTTTGCGCGCGGCATTCGGCGCGTGGTGAGCATGTGTTGTGATAGATGCAAGGGTTTACACACTGTTCATTTTGACACATTTTGTCGGTGGGACAGTCGTTGTTCGTGAGACAGCCGATGACGCGACAACGCTCATAGGCATTGCCACGATAACCGCTCTTGCAGCGGCAGACAGCGCTATTCGCCTGTACATGGCACTCGGCGTTGATGCCGCAAGGATCGTTAACCAAGCAGGGGTTGATGCAATTGCCGTTGATGCAAGCCTTACCTGAATCGCACTCACTGTCGATGCGGCAACCTATCGTGCGACAGACGGAGTAAGGATTACCTTCGTAACCATCTTGGCAAGAGCAAGTTGCGCGATGATTCTGCACCTGACAAATGGCGTTGGTGCCACAGTTGCATGGATTGCGACACTGACGGTTGATGCACGCCTCCTGGTCTGGACAATCGGCGTCAGTGCTACAACCTGGTGGGCTTTGCAGCACAATAGGTTTGCACTCACCGCGCGCATCGGGCACATATGATTCGGGGCATTCGCATACCATAGTTCGTACTGGTACACTATCAAGTACACTACATTTAGCTGAGGCGGCACAAGGTGAAAGTATGGTGCACGGGTTCTGGCACTTGTTGTCAATGCAGGCCAAGCGGCTCGGGCAATCGCCATCATCGCGGCAAACAGGCTCCACAGGACGTCGCTCACAGTAAGAGTATGGGTTGCCGAGCGGCATTGTTTCGGGGCAGCGGCAGACAGCGCGATGTTGTAGCGCCTGACAGATGGCATTTTGTGCGCATGGACTATCCTGGCAAGGATTAATACATTGATTGCGTACACATGCTTGATTCGTGGCGCAATCATAGTCCGAATGGCATTCGACGCGCACGCAACGTTGGAACGGATCACCCTCCAAGCCAGCGGGGCAGCGACAGGTGGCGCGATGATTGCGACCAAAGCACTCGGCATTGAGCGCGCATGGATCGCTTACTAAGCAAGGATTAACACATTCACGGTTAACGCATTGCTGATCCGTGGAACATTCGTCGTCCGATTGGCAGCCAATTTGTACGCAGCCGAATTGCGCATTCCCAGAGTAGCCAGGTTGACAGTAGCAGATGGGGTGATGATTGCGTACGATGCAGTCGGCATTCGGGCCACAATTGCAAGGGTTGACGCAACGTTCATTGACGCATGACTCGGTTAGTGAACAATCAGAATTGGATTTGCAGCCAATTGTGGATACGTCTGGTGCTGTAGGTTAAAGAAAGGGAAGGCACATTAGCTATTTTAAAGTGAGGAAAAGGGGTATTTGTACTTACGTGGTACACAAGCGACGCGCGCATCGCCTTTGAAACCGGGCGGGCAGCGACACACAGCTGCTCTGTTCTGAACATGGCAGTAGGCGCCGGGTCCGCATGGATCTTCCACACACGGATTTATGCAGCGTTCATTCTTGCAAGTCTTATCATTTGAACAGTCATCATTTTTCGTACATTCCGCGCCCGGTGTCTTAGGTTGTTCGTGTACAATCAGTTGACATTCGACGCGTGGATTACCTTCGTAACCGCGTGGGCATGTGCATTCCGCATAGTGATCGCGCGAGCGGCATTGTGCATTAACACCACAACGTTCCAGACGGCATGCGTCGATGCAAACGCCGCGTTGACATACCTCAGCGTTGCTGCATTCATCGTTGCTCTGGCAACCACTTACAACTTCATGTTTAATCGGAACACAATTGCCCGAGGTGTCGGTGATTGTATCGCTCGGACACTTGCAGATCATTGTACGTAGCGGCAGTGTATCGAGCACGTGACAGGTTTGTTGAGGTGTGCAAACATGTGGCGTAGCGCATGGATTTGCGCAATGCTGGTTGATGCAAGCCAATTGCGAAGGACAGTCGGCATCTTGCGTGCACTCCGGTGCGACCTTAGTCGGTGGTTCGCGTGGCAGTTGGCATTCGACGAACGCGTTGCCTGTGTAGCCTGAACGGCACTCACATTGCGGCTGATGACGTCTACCTGTGCAAATGGCATTCACAGCGCAGGTGTCTTCATCGCAGACCGGGCGGCAGACTCGATTCAGGCGATCGCAAGCTTCATGATCGGCGCAATCCTCGTTGAATTGACAATGACCTGTGATGCAGGAAACAAATGGACTGCCTTGTGTGCCTGGTGGACAAATGCAGACGGCTTGGTGATTCTGTGGCGCGCACTGTGCGCCAGTGCCGCAGCGTACTTCGCCATAGTTGCAAGGGTTCACACAATTTTCATTGATACAGGCCTTGTCGTAGGGGCAGTCGGCGTTGATCTTACATTCCGCTGTATGAATAGACGATGACGGTTAGAGTTAGGGTCACGGTTGGAAATTTATTTGCGCTAAAAGCGCTTGGAGACTTACGTTTGTAGCATTGAACTTGTGGATCACCACCCCAGCCAGCGGGGCAAGAGCAAATTGGGCGCGAGTTGCGCACGCGGCACTCGGCATTGCCAGCGCATGGGTTTGCTTCAGCGCAGGGATCTTGGCAGCGCTGATTGATGCAGGCCGTGGTCGGTGTGCATTCCGTATCGTGCGTGCAGCCGGCGGTAATTTGAGCTATAGGACAAGCAAGAGTAAATATAAAAAGTGAATACTTCTATTGTCGGTAGGGTAAAGCTTACGTGGTTGGTAACAGTTGATGAACGGGTCGCCTTGAGTGCCTTGTGGGCAACTGCAGACGGCGCGATGTCGTTGCGCTAAGCATTCGGCGGTGCGCGCGCAAGGCGAGCCATCGGTGCAAGGATTCACGCAAACACCATTTCGACAGGCCTCGGTATCTTGGCATTCGCTGTTCGATTGACAGCCGTGATCCCGTGCAGGTTCTGTGGTGGAAAATGAGAATTAGTGTTCATCAGGAGTCAGGGTAATTGTAGCAGAAAAAGAAAAGAAACGAAAGAGCTAGCTGCTTTGTGCTTGCTAAACTTGCAAAGTTGTGTATAACTGTACAACAAAGTGTTAAATTGTTGGTTAACATGCGCTTTTGACACGCTTTAGCTTCAACGCATATAAAAGTTATACAAATAAATATATATACAATGCAACTAAAATATGTGTAGCTATAAAAGTAATCAAAAATTATGCTGCAATGAGAAAAAGACTCAAAAAGGCATAGATTTAAAACTCTACAAACACTTTTAAACCCCACCGTCAACCTACCTTTACGACAGCCAACATCAGCATCACCAACATAACCGGGTTCACATTGACAGATCATTGTACGTAACGGCAGTGTATCCACCACCGAGCAAATAGCATTCGCGCCACATGGTTGCGTCACAGCGCATGGATTCTTACATTCACCGCCGAAGCACGCCAACTTGCTGCTACAATCCGCATCCATAGTACATTGTGGTGCCACTTTAGGTTCCTCGAGCACACAGCTCACTAGCGGATTGCCACTGTAGCCTGGTGGGCAACGGCAAAGCGCGCGATGATTATCGACGCGGCACTGCGCGCCAACACCACAATTGCATGGATCTTCACAGCGTTCATTCTTGCAGGCCAAATTAAAGGTACACTCATCGTCGCTTGAGCATTCGGGACGCTCGCAGCGCACCAAAGGATTGCCACGATAACCGTCTGGACAATGGCAGCGCGCTTTGTGATTGTAATCGGCGCGGCAAATAGCATTCGTGCCACATTGTGTGTATGGGCAAGGATCGGTACATTGCTTGTTGATGCAGGCCTCGGTGGCGGGACATTCTTCGTCTGAACGGCAGCCAATTAGGTGGCAGTAGCTGAAAGCGTTGCCCGTGTAACCTGGTGGAGAAAAAAATAAATATATTAATTACATGATAAACTACTGATTTTGGATAATTGGTAAAACAAAAAAGTGTGTATGGACATTTCAAAGAAAAAATATTGGAGATTTTTCAATCCTCTAAAAATTGGACCCTTGACTAATCTTTGTGTTACGGGGGAAAAAATATCAGAAGTAACTATGTATGTATATGTAATATTCGATATCGACCAATCAATGCCATAATCGCAAGTGCCCAAAGTGCTTCTCGACTATCCGAGAAAATGTATGCCTTATGTTACGGGTTCTCTTGGAGGATGTAAGCAAAGTTGGATAGTCGGAACGAGAAACACATCCATCATCACAGATAATACTCCCTCATCCAGGGCACAGCACATTTTTGAACCTATCAGTATAGATGGCGTCGAAATTCTTCTCAATTACCCTGCTTTAACTCCAATGACGCCTAAACGGAAACTTCATATAAACTATGCCCAATTTTACCTCTTATAAAAACCTTGCGCTTTTCTGCTTTCAATTAAAGAATTTCTTGCAATAATTCACAATAGGATAAAGGTGTCTAATGCAACGCTAAAGCACTTCGTCTCAGAGGATATTGTGAGATTGGGCTAAAGAGGTTTCAAATAATTTCATTTATAATTACTCCGGGTAGCTAAAATTCTTTATGCCATTACCTCTTAATATCCTCACCGCAGACCCGCTAAAGTTTGTTCCATTGCCGTTTACGGGAATATACAAACCGAACCTTAATTCCAATATTCTTGTGTAGAGGACACTTGAATGCACTGACAAGGTCTAGTTAGGTATAGTAAGGAAGCGCTCGATTGAAAATGTTGGTAGAGTTCACCCTTTGAGGGAACTATTAAAAAAGCCTTAGGGATCATCTGGACCTGAAGAATTGCCCTAAAAAATTATACATCGGCTTAGCTTATGTCCACCTCTCTGGTTGGTGGATCGATATGAAACAACATCTTATCTTCAGTTCTGAAGTCACAGTTTTAGGCACTAGTCCCAACAAAGTTTCCCGTGAAGATATCTGAACCGTAGGCTCAGATGTTTAGACACAAATGGATCGGAAATAAGTAAAAGCATTAGAGTAGCCCTGGTATTTAACCGTCCTAACCTAGTGGTTTGCGCTGCGCACTAACACTCGGTATGACGCAGACTGGGTCGTTAGTCCGTGCAATAGCTACAAACTATAGAAACAATGGAGAACTCCTGAGTCTAGGTAAAGCTTCTCATAAAAGCACCAGTCCTAAAGATGGGTAATGCGTCTAACTATCAATGTTTCAGTTGCCTGATAGAGGTCTCTACATTAAGAAAGCAGGTGATAAAATATTGAAGCCTGCAATACGAAAAAATGTATGCGCCCTGAATGGAACATGAGAAGATCAAGAGAAATTCTAACTTTCAGTAAAGCTAAAAGAGACTGCTAACAACAGACTCGAATTATGTTCCTGCGATCTCTTCGGGAGTATGCATAGAAGAGCTGTTCAAAGCTTATAACCTACTGGAGATTCCTGTTAACATTTTCCCACGGCAATCGGGTCCTCGTAACATAAATGACCCAGATTTATATTTTATTAACGACTGCCACTTCGTGGATCTTAATAGCTTGGAAACATGTTAGAAGGAGTACTAGATCGGAATGGTTGGAAGACACGTATGAACTATTATGGGAAAAAACATTTTCCGAGCGCGGGAATAGGTCTGTGAGGCCGCCGAGCAGTCCCTCTATGATAACCTAACCTTACCCTCCTTAACTACTTACTTTCAAGAGAAAAAAAATACCGCAGAAAAACCCAGAAACTGACACCAATGCCGTTCCATCCAAAATTACCTTCGGACTGAAGTAATTTACTCATAGGCGACTGCACCAGACACGATGGCCTGTTATTGGATCTGAGGCTATTACTGCATGATTTTGTCGGCCCTACTTTATGAGCAACATATATTTAAGATATCAGTGGAATCTCGAAAACTATGTTTTTTCTCTTTGAAATTGTAAAGATTAAAATTTGCAAACGCTTCTTGGTTAAACGTCTCCAAACTCAACAAGATACTACTAAAGTCTCTGCTTAACTATACCCATTGCAAACGAGTACTAAAATATATGTTCTAGGCTTCTTGTACTCACCTTCATTGCAGACGCAGAGTGGTCGGTGTAGCTGCACATGACAGCGCGCATTTGTGCCACAGATATTCGAGAGTTCACATGGATTCTGGCATGCCTGATTTATGCATGCCTTATCGTTGGAGCATTCCGAGTCGGTGGTACATTCTGGCCTTGGCGCTGGTATTTCTTCCATTTGTGGCAGACACTGATTAAACGGTGAACCATAGTAACCAGCTGGACATGTGCATACCGCCTTATGATTGATAGCATTACAAATTGCGTTCACACCGCAAGCATTGATACATGGATCGCGACATTTCTGATTAATACAAGCACGATTACGGGAGCAGTCCTCATTAGTTACACACTCGGGATATGTACAAGTGGCAGCGCCATTAATAACTTGGCAAATGCCATTGCTACGGCATGGTGATGGATTGCATGGATCCACAGGTTTCGGTGGCGCATGACATTCAACAAACGGATTGCCAACCATTGAATTTGGACAGCTGCAGATGGGATTGTGATTCACCGTCTGGCACTGTGCACCATAACCGCAAACACCAGGGCATGGGTCGACGCACTTCGAATTGACGCACGCTCTATCCTTGGCACAATCCGAACTAAGTGTACATTCGGGACGACAGCCTTGGCCATATGGATTGCCGAAGAAGCCTGGTAAGCACTCGCAAATGCCTTGATCGCGCTGCACTTTGCAGACGGTGTTGATGCCACATGGTGTTGGATAGCAAGGATCGCGACGTTCTTCAGGCTCCATTGCGATAAGTGAGCACTGAATGAATGCGTTGCCAGTGTAGCCTGACGGACATGAGCATATCGGTATGTGGTTGTGTATGCTGCACAGCGCACCCACGCCGCAAGTGCCTGGGCAAGGATCGGCGCATTTGTTGCGTATGCAAGCCCGATTCGAGGGGCATTCAGAATTGCCAATACACTCAGGACGGCAACCCTCGTAGGGATTGCCGATGTAGTCGTTTATGCAGACGCAAGTGTAGCTATCGCCACGTCCGCGGCATTCACTGTTCGAGCCGCAAGGTGATGGACGGCAAGGATCGCGTGGTTCCTGTTTCGGTGGCGGTGGAAGAACTGAAATAAAATATAATAAACGTGAAAGTTTTAGAAATGAACTGGTTAAGTGGGTAAAAGGTTAATGTCAACTTGCTTGCGCCTTACTTTTAGGTGCCTCATAACATGCGCGGAAGGGATCGCCGGTCATGCCACTTGGGCAATGGCAATTGGGTATGTGGAAGGTGACAAGACAGTTGGCATTTACACCGCATGAGCCGGGACAAGGGTCACGGCATTTGAGATTGATACACGCCAGATTGTTAGGACAATCATCATTGGTCGAGCATTCTGGGCGACAATTGGGTGGATCGCCAATGTAATTGAGAAGGCAGGCACAACGAGCCTGTCCCTGTTCATCGGTACATTGCGCGTTAGGACCGCAAGGCGATGGAACGCAAGGGTTCTTTGGTACGCTTGGCGGTTCTTGACGTATTTCTATAAACAAGTGTTTCAAACTGGTTAGTGGCTGGACTTTAATTCGCGATTTTTACCAGCAACCACTTACCTGTTCTCGTGCAAAGTGAATATGGATTACCGCTATAGCCGCGTATACATTCACAATGTGCGCGATGTTGCACTGTCTGGCACTCGGCGTTCTGACCGCACTGACCGGGACAAGGATCAACGCATTTATTGTTGATACACGCGTGTATTTGTGCACAATCCGAGCTAGTGTAACACTCCAGACGGCAGTTCGGTGGATTGCCCAAATAGCCGGTGATGCAAGAGCAGATGGCATTACCACCACGTTCAATGCACTGCGAATTAGGACCGCACGGTGATGGTTGGCAAGGGTTCTTCTGTTCGACATCACGCACTGGCTCGCATGCGACGAATGCATTGCCAGTCATACGTTCAGGACAGCGACACATCGGTATGTGATTGATGACATCGCAGAGAGCGCGCTGACCGCAAGTGCCCGGACAGGGATCCACACACTTATTGTGCACGCAGGCGCGATCACGCGCACAATCCGCATTGAGGACACATTCTGGGCGGCAGCCGATAAGAGGATCGCCGTGATACTCTGGAATGCAGGAACATTGACCGTTGTTGCAGACAGTATTTGCGCCACAAGGCGAGGGTATGCACGGGTCGATAGGTTCAGCCGGTTCTGTAAAGCGGTATGAGTAATCAATATAATAGAGAGTTCAACAAGCGTAGATCGATGAAATTACTTGGTGCTGGTGGTGGTGGTGGCAACAGACGACAGCTGGTAAACGGATCGCCGCTGTATCCCGCAGGACAAGAGCAGCTTGGTGTGTGATTGATAACATTACAGAGCGCTGCGAAACCGCAAGAGCCGGGGCATGGATCGCGACAACGTTGATTCATGCAAGCCAGATTGCTGGCACATTCCGCGTTGATTGTACACTCCGGCCTGCAGTTGGGTGGTGCGCCAATATAATTTGACAAGCAGCTGCAAGTCGCGGCGCCATTTACTTCGCGGCATTGTGCGTACGATCCACAAGGTGAGGGAATGCATGGATTGACGTCGCGCGGTGGTGCAGGCGCTGGAGTACGCGGCGCTAAAGGGGTAGTGAAAGGATAGTTGGTAAGTTGAGGGCGAAATGCGTCAAAGTGGGTTGTCGCTTACGTGGTATCGGTTGACAGCTGGTGAAAGCTTCGCCGGTATAACCTGATTTACAAGCGCATAACGGACTATGGTTACGTACGTGACACTCGGCATTAATTCCACATGCGCCCGGACAAGGATCCTTACATTTTTGATTGATGCATGCCTTATCCAATGGACACTCGGAGCTGACGACACATTCCGGACGACAGGCTGGTGGAGCGCCTACGAAATCGGGCAAGCAGGAACAGACGGCTTGTCCATTTGAATCGCGACATTGCGCATTGGCGCCACACGGCGATGGTTGGCAGGGACTTACGGGAACGCTAGGTTCGGCTGTTATGAATTACAAGAAATTAGTATCGACTTTCAGGTATTGAAGGCAGTTGCAACCAATGCGTAAGCGAATATTATGGGCTACTAGGCCGCGAAAGCAAACTTTGTTATTTCGAAGCGGAGTAAGTATAGATTTAAATGTTTATTATACGCTTAAATTAATGTTATAATTATATTAAATGTATGTGTGCAATAAATATTGAGTGCAGTGGCTTTTCCCTAGTGACAAAGCTAAAAATAAAAGTTTTTTGCTTTAGGCAATTATGATGGAGGTTTTTCTTTTGAACTGCTAGTCGGGTATGAATCACATTGCTTAAACTTAGAGCTTTTTGCGGAAGGAAGTAAGAGTTATTACATAGCGGGTTACATTTACTGCCTTGGGTGACTGAAAGGGACCCAAGTGCAGTTATTTGGGTGACTTGCAAAATTAGACTTTGCGGATTGGAAATTTTAATAGTTGGCTTTGAAAGGCATTACACTTTGAAGTTTAGTTTATTTAGTTTGGTAGTTCTGCATTGCTTTCGGGTTTAGAAAGTATAGTTATTGACTTTAGGGGCAGGAAGTTGAAGCGAAAAACCTGTGCTTATACAAAATTTCTTACGTTCTGCTTGCACCACTGTGCAACGCGTATACGGATCGCCGCGATAACCAGGTAGACATGCGCAGTTTGGTACATGATTGACGACATGACACATAGCGTCTGAACCGCACGTGCCAGGACATGGATCGCGGCACTTCTGATTCTGACACGCCTTGTCCGCTGCGCAATCTGAGTTTCTAACACATTCCGGTCGACACACTTCATAGGGATTGCCGTAGTAGTTGGGTAGACATTGGCATACGCTAATGCCATTTCGCGGTTGACAAATCGCATTCGGGCCGCAGGGGCTGGGACTGCAGGGTAGAGCCACTTCCGTAGGCGGTTCTTGTTGTCGCACGCACGCGCTAAAGGGATCGCCGGTATAACCGCTTGGGCAGTAACACATTGCGCTGTGCGCCAACACACGACACTCGGCTGCAGCGCCACACGAGCCTGGACAAGGATCGGCGCACTTGCGATTAATGCATGCCTTGTCCGAAGCGCACTCAGCACTGGTAACGCATTCGGGACGGCAGTGTGGTGCAGTGCCGATAAATTCGCGTAAACAAGTGCACTGTGCGCCATTAGGTGTGGCGGTACATTCGGAGTTCGGACCGCAAGGTGACGGTTGGCAGGGATTCGTAGGCTTTTCATCACGTACTGGTGCTGGGGGTGGTGTAACTGCAAAAGGGGTTGATATGTTAAGTGAAAGGTATTTAACTGAGAATTTAATGGACGCAGTACTTATGGGTTGACAAGCAATAAATGGATCGCCCGTGTAGCGTTGTGGGCAAGCGCATATAGGGCTATGATTTTGCGGATGACAAATGGCGCGTAGACCGCAAGCACCGGCGCAAGGATCCTGGCAACGTTGATTTAAGCAGAACTTATCGAGCGTACACTCCGTGCTTGAGACGCACTCTGGACGACAGGATGGTGGAGCGCCAATAAAGCCAGGTAAGCAAGAACATATAGCTTGCTCATGCGCTTCGCGACACTGAGAGTTCGGGCCACAAGGGGAAGGATGGCAGGGATACACAGGCGCAGGAGGTTCAGCGGCTGAAATTGAGAACGTGTAAGCATCTAAAAGGCTGAAATGGACAGTCGTCGTTTCTTTACTTGGTATGCTATCACAACGCACGAAAGCGTTGCCGGTGAAGCCGTCGGCACACGAACACATCGGTATGTGATTTATAACATTGCATAGCGCTTGTGCGCCGCAAGTTCCCGGGCACGGATCTTTGCATTTCTGATTGATGCAAGCGCGATCACGTGCGCAATCGCTATTGAGCACACACTCCGGTCGGCAGCCACTGTAAGCGTCGCCCATATAGTCGGGTAGACATGTGCACACTCCTTCTCCACTGCAGACGGCATTGGCGCCACAAGGTGATGGTACGCAAGGATCTTGCTTGATGGGTTCACGTTGTACTGGTTTCGGTGGTTCCGGCTGGCAACTGCTGAACGGATCTCCTACATAACCAGCTGGACACACGCAGTTCGGCACATGGTTGAGAACATTGCAGATCGCATTGAAGCCGCACGAGCCGGGACATGGGTCACGACACTTCTCATTGATGCAAGCGCGATTCGAGGGGCAATCGGAATGTACAACACACTCGGGGCGACAATTTGGCGGACTACCTACGTAGCTGGGTAGACATGAGCAAATTGCAGCACCATTGCGGCTGTGACATTGCGAGTATTGGCCGCAAGGTGACGGATTGCAGGGATTACTTGGTGGAGGGGGTGTGGCTGGTAAAACGTCTGCGATAGCTGGCGGCGGTGGGGCTAATGTTGCAGGAAAGATTTTTTTAAAATGGCGTAATGCGTAAATTTTAGTTTTACTCTTACAAGTTATTGGATAACAGCGGGTGAAAGCATCTCCGGTATAGCTTGTTCTGCACGAACAAATAGGGTTGTGATTGTAAACGCGGCATTCCGCATTCTGACCGCAGGTGCCCGGACAAGGATCAGCGCATTTACGATTTATACAGGCTTGTGTGAGCGCACATTCCGCATTAACGGTACACTCTGGACGACAGGCAGGTGGTGAGCCAACGAATTCAGGTAAGCAAGAGCAAATAGCTTGCTGGTTAACTTCGTGACATTGAGCGTTCGGGCCGCAAGGTGATGGTATGCAGGGATTTACGTAAACTGGTTCCACTAAAGATAAAAATATGAGTCATGTTAAGCCCGAAAGGTGATGGGAGCGCATTCTTTGTGCTTACATTGCTTAACAGGCGAGCATAAACTAAACGGATTGCCCGTGTAGCCATTCAAACAGTGGCAAACTGGCAGATGATTCACAACCTGGCACTCGGCGTTGCGGCCACAAGCACCCGGGCATGGATCACGACATTTGCGCTGAACGCAGGCCTTATTTGACGGGCAATCACTGTTTAGCACACACTCGGGGCGACAACCCTGGTACGGGTTACCAAAGTAGTCAGGTAGGCAGACACAAGATCCAACGTTGTTATGACGACGGCATTCTGCATTGTCTCCACAGGGGCTTGGTATGCATGGATCTACGTAGTCCGGTACAGGTGACGGTGGTGGTGGAAGTGGTAGACGGCAAATGCTAAACGGATCTCCAACGTATCCCTGCTCACAAACGCAGTTTGGTATATGGTTCAGAGCGCGACATTGCGCATTGGAGCCACACAGACCGGGACAAGGATCGCGACATTTCCGATTGATGCAGGCCTTATCAGATGGACACTCCGAGTTGGAAATACATTCGGGACGACAATTTGGTGGTGCGCCTATGAATTCACTTAAGCAAGTACAAGATGGCGCGCCATTAATATTGCTACATTGTGCGTTAGGACCGCAAGGTGATGGACGGCAGGGATCACGAGGTTCCTCATAAGATGGTGGAGCTGTGTGAAGATGCGAGTTGAAAGGGAAGGTTAAGTTTACTATTCGGGAAAGATAACCACGAATGCGATCGCAATACATACTAATGATTGGCTGACAAGCGACGAATGGACTGCCAGTGTAGCCCGCTGGACAAGAACAGATTGGATTATGACTGACTATGTTGCAGAGCGCGTTGTGGCCGCAAGCGCCCGGACAGGGGTCGCTACATTCCTGGTTGATGCAGGCGCGATTCATTGGACACTCAGAGTTGCTAACGCATTCGGGGTGGCACGCAGGCGGTGTACCAATCATATTTTGTACACAAGTGCAAATTGCTATACCATTCCTATCCTGACACTGTGAGTTGGGACCACAAGGTGACGGCTGGCATGGATGTACAGGTTCAGCTGGACGCTCGGGTACCGGCTGACACTGTACAAATGCATTACCTTGCATGCCCGCCGGACAGTGACACATAGGAACGTGGTTATGTACTTCGCAGATGGCATTCGAGGCGCAAGTTCCGGGACAAGGGTCCCGACATTTCTGATTGATACACGACATATCACGTGGGCATTCGCTATTCAAAATACATTCAGGACGGCAACCAGTGTATGGATCGCCCTGATACTCAGCGATGCAGGTGCAAATGCCATCACTGCATTGCGCGTTGGTGCCACAAGGCGACGGTATGCAAGGATCATCAGATGGCGTGGCTGTTTGCGTGGAAAAAGGTTGTAAATGTAAGTTTTGAGTTAAAAAGGAAACAAGTTTTGAGTTCTCATTACATGGTGGTGGTGGTGCTGGTTGCGCGTAACAGCTGGTGAATGGATTACCAGTGTAGCCAATGGGGCACGTGCAGGCTGGTATATGGTTAAGCACATTACATTCGGCGTTCACGCCACAAGACCCAGGACATGGATCGCGACACTTCTCATTGACGCAAGCGTGGTTGCTGGTACAGTCCGAGTTTACTACACATTCCGGGCGACAATTGGGTGCAGTACCGCTATAAGATGGCAGACACGAACACGCAGGTTGATCATTTGTCACGCGGCAGACGGCGTATTGACCACATGGCGAGGGTACACAGGGGTCGCGATAAGGTTCGCGTGCTGGTGGTGGCGGTGGCGGTATGGGGTAGCAACGCACAAAAGCGTCACCAGTATAACCGGGCCGACAACTACAGTAGGGGTTATGCGTGCGTATGCTACACTCAGCATTCGAGCCACACGTGCCGGGACAGGGATCTTGACACTTCTTGTTTATGCACGCCTTATCGGCGGCACATTCGGAGTTCGTTGTACATTCGGGGCGACAAGAAGGCGGGTTGCCAATGAAGTCAGGTAAGCAAGAGCAGACCGCTTGTTCTTGCACTTCACGACATTGCGAATTCGGGCCACAAGGCGATGGTACGCAAGGATTTACATATTCTCTTATTGCTATTTATAATACGAAATGAAAGAAAAAGTAAATGTGCAATGAGTTTAATGTTGTGTGTGCTGTGTAATGTTTCTTTTTTTGCTACGGGAGAATTTCTAAAAGCAAGTTTTGAAAAAAATCTCTGATGCTTACGTTCTTTCGGCACGTTGCAATAGCTGTACGGATCTCCTGTATAGCCAGACAGACAAGTACAAGTAGGTAAATGATTAATCGCGTAACATTGTGCATTTTGACCGCAAACACCAGGACAAGGGTCTTGACATTTCTGATTGCGACATGCCTTATTCGATGGACAATCAGAATTTGTGGTACATTCGGGGCGACAACCGTCATAGGGATTGCCGAAATATTCGGGCAAACATTTACATGCGCCGGCGTTATTTTGTGTGGTGCAGATAGCATTACTGCCACAGGGGCTGGGTACGCACGGATTGATCTGCTCGCGTTCAACTATTGGTTCGGGGTAGCACTGCGTGAACGGATCACCCACATAACCGGCGATGCAGACACAAGAGGGCGTATGGCTAACCACATGACAGGTGGCTGATGTACCACATACACCGGGGCAAGGATCACGACACTTCATATTAATACAAGCCTGGTTGCTAGGGCATTCCGATGATGATAAGCACTCCGGGCGGCAGTTGGGTGGTGCGCCAATATAATCCGGTAGGCAAGTGCATGATGGTGAGCTGTTCCTATCAGTGCATTGTGAGTTGGGACCGCACGGTGATGGTACGCAGGGGTTTGTGGGTTCTCGTTGCGGGCTCGGTGGTGGCGGCAAGAGTTGACACAAGGTATGGGCGTTGCCGGTGTAACCGCTAGGACAGCTGCAGAATGGTGCGTGATTAATGACAGAACAAATAGCGCGCACGCCACAGCTGCCTGGACAAGGATCTCGGCATTTATGGTTCACGCAGGCCATGTTCGGTGCACAGTCCGAGTTAATGCTGCATTCAGGTCGGCAGTTGGGTGGTACGCCAAAATAGTCAGGCAGGCAAGCGCACACGGCTTGCTGATTAATTTCGGTGCACTGAGAATTGGGGCCACAGGGTGAAGGCTGGCAGGTGTTCACTACCGCTGGCGTTGCTAAGACGATTCAAAATTTTAAAATTTGATTATAAAATAATTTCTTAAGCTTGAAACCTACTTTGTTGTACTATTGAGCATTGCACGAATGCGTTGCCCGTCATGCCCTCGGGGCAGTGGCACATCGGTATGTGATTGAAGACATCGCAGATGGCGCCTAGACCGCAGGTACCGGGACAAGGGTCGACACATTTATTTCTAATACAAGCCTTATCGCGCGCGCAATCCGTATTGAGTACACACTCGGGGCGACAACCAATGTAGGCGTTGCCTTGATACTCGGGTAGACAGGCGCATTCTCCATTTCTACAAACAGCATTGCTGCCGCAGGGTGACGGGTTGCAGGGATCTTTCAAGGGCACTAAAAGAAGTAATAATATTTTTATGTTCACCTAAGAAACTATCAAACATACATTTGATTTCGGGCGGCTTGGGCGCGCAACTTGTAAACGGGTCACCGGTATAGTCGGCTGGGCAAGTGCATATTGGCGTGTGGTTAATTACATTGCAAATCGCTGCGAAGCCGCAAGATCCTGGACAAGGATCGCGGCACTTTTCATTTATGCACGCTAAGTGCGCTGGACATTCGGCATTGATGGAACACTCGGGACGACAGCTAGGTGGCGCGCCCAAATAGTTGGGTAAACAAGAGCATGAGGCCTGACCGTTGACGTTGCGACAGATAGCGTTGCTACCACAAGGAGATGGAACACAGGGATCGCGATACTCCTCTCTAATAACCGGCACAGTTGGTGGCGCTAAAAGAAGGTGTTAGGTAAAATAAACTTTTTCGTGGGCATTAACTTTTTGTTTCTGCATCTTACGCGGTATTGGGTAACATCTAGTGAAGGCATCGCCGGTGTAACCTGCATGACAACTGCAAAGCGGGCTATGGTTACGTACGCGACATTCAGAGTGGAGACCGCAGACGCCTGGGCAAGGATCAACACACTTTTGATTGACGCACGCCTTGTCAAGCGCACATTCACTAGAAATGGTGCATTCGGGTCGACAGTCCGGTGGGCTGCCGATGAACATGGGTAAACAAGAGCAAACCGCTTGCTGCTTGACTTCTTTACACTGGGAATTTGGTCCACAAGGCGATGGTTGACAGGGGTTAACGACATCGAATTTCGCTAAAAGGGTATAAAAAACTGTTGGCATATCACTTTGACTAAACATTATTTCTCTAAAATGCTTACGTTCGGTTATTACGCTGCAGTAGCTGTACGGATTGCCTGTGTAACCACTTAAGCAGTTGCAGCTTGGCAAATGATTGCGTACATGGCAGAGGGCATTCTGGCCACAAGTACCAGGACATGGATCCTTGCATTTATTCTGCAAACAAGCTTTGTCCGTAGGACAGTCAGAGTTCACTACGCACTCGGGCCGACAACCCTCATATGGATTTCCTACAAATTCAGGCAAACACTGACAGGCGCCAGCGCCGTTACGTACGATACATGCAGTGTTGGGACCACAAGGACTTGGTTGGCAAGGATTCAGCACTTCTTGTGGCACATCGCGTACGACGTCACAATAGCTGAATGGATCTCCTGTGTAGCCGTTTGTACAAATACACATCGGCGTATGATTTATGACATGACATTGTGCATTAGCGCCACATACGCCGGGACAGGGATTTTGACAGCGTTGATTTATGCATGCCTGCGAAAGCGGACACTCAGAGTTGGTTACACATTCAGGACGGCAATTAGGCGGTGCACCAATGAACTCCTTGAGACATGAGCACGATGGACTATCGCCAACTGCGCGACACTCGGCGTTGGGACCGCAAGGCGATGGACGACAAGGATCCTTCGGGGCAACGTCCAACTGCGGTACAACTGGAAAAAGATTTATTAAGTGAGTTTCCTGCGTTCCCGTATGAATTAAGAGAAATTTACTTCGTATAGGCATGCAGGCCACAAATGGATTGCCAGAGTATGAATTGGCACATCGACAAATCGGCGCATGATTGATGACACTGCATTCCGCGTTGATACCACAAACTCCCGGACAGGGATCGCGACATTTCTGCTGCAGGCACGCACGATTTAATGCACATTCCGCATTGCTGGTACACTCCGGACGGCAGGATGGTGGAGCACTAATAAACTCAGGCAAGCACGAGCACACAGCTTGTTGATTGACAACGCGACATTGCGAATTCGGGCCACAAGGTGAGGGTTGACAAGGATTCACTTGCACTGGGGCGGGAAGTGGCTGGCATAGTGCGAATGCATTGCCAGTCATACCTTCTGGACAATGACACATTGGTATGTGGTTATGCACCTCGCAAATGGCATTCGAGGCACAAGTACCCGGGCAAGGATCTGTGCACTTCTGACGTTTGCACGCCTTGTCGAATGGGCAGTCGGTGTTTAAAACACATTCTGGACGGCAGCCTATCAACGGGTTGCCCTGATATTCCGGTATGCATTCACACTGTCCATCGCGGCATACAGTGTTGGGACCACAGGGCGAGGGATTGCATGGATCTTCTGCAAGTTTTGGTGGTGGTTGTGGTGGTGCTTGGCAAGAGACAAATGGGTCGCCTCGCAAGCCAGGTGTGCACTGACAAATAGGCGTATGATTTATAACATTACAGTTCGCATTGAAGCCGCACGCGCCGGGACAAGGGTCGCGACATTTTTCATTTATGCAAGCTTGTGTGCTGGCGCAATCTGAGTTTCTAGTACACTCCGGATGGCAGGTGGGTGGACTACCGATATAGGTAGGTAGACACGAGCACGACGGGCTGCCGTTGATATCACGACATTCGGCGAATTGACCACAAGGCGAGGGTACGCATGGATTGCGTACTGGTTCTGGTGGGGTCGCAGCTTGTGGTGGCGCTAAGAGAAAGAATGGAGTATTAAAATACTGCGAGACACGTTCATCTAGCTTGGGCTTACGTGGTATAGGATAACAGCGCGTGAAAGCATTGCCTGTGTAACCACTAAGGCAACTACACAGCGGTGAGTGATTGCGCACGTGACATTCTGCATTTGTGCCACAAGTACCCGGACAAGGATCCTGACATTTCTGATTGATGCACGCTTTATCGAGTGCGCATTCGGCACTCGTCGTACACTCTGGTCTGCACGCAGGCGGTGTACCAATAAATGTGGGCAGACATGAGCAAACAGCTTGATTATTCACTTCCCGACATTGGGAATTGGGTCCGCAGGGTGATGGCTGGCATGGGTTGACGTACTCTTTCATGATCGCTAAAATATAAAAACTGCTTTCACTCTGTCGCATTCGGTATGCGGTTGTTACTTACGCTTTTCCGGTAACTGACAATAGCTATAGGGATCGCCTATGAAACCATCCAAACATACACAAGAAGGCAGGTGATTGATAACGCGACATTGCGCATTTAGCGCGCAGACACCCGGGCAAGGATCGCGACATTTCTGATTCTGACAAGATTTATCCAGCGGACAGTCCGAGTTCGTTATACATTCTGGGCGACAACCCTCATAAGGATTACCAAAGTACTGGGGCAAACACTGACATGAGCCTGCGTTATTCACTTGGCGACACTCGGCGTTAACACCACACGGGTTTGGTTCACATGGCGAGACGAAGTCCACTTGTTTTACAGGTTCCGGCATGCAGAACGAAAACGGATCGCCAGTGTAGCCAGCCGCACAGAGACACATTGCTGTATGACTAATCACACGACACTGTGCATTCTGACCGCATAAGCCAGGGCAGGGATCGATGCATTTTTGGTTAATACAAGCCTTATCTTGACTGCATTCGCTATTTGTTACACATTCCGGATGACAGTTTGGTGGGGCGCCGATAAATTGCGGTAAGCAAGAGCAAGATGGTGCATCTCCGACAGCGCGACACTCGGAATTCGGGCCACAAGGCGACGGGTAGCATGGATCCTTGGGCGCTTCCAAACGTGGTGGCGGTTCAACTAGTGGGAGGAGATGAAAGCGAACGTTTTATGGTTTGCGCGGCGAGAAAATATTTCAGATATTTACTTATCGGTTGACAGGATACGAATGGATTTCCAGTGTGATGAACGGGACATGTACATATGGGCGCATGATTTACTACGTTACAAATCGCTTTGAAACCGCATGCGCCCGGACAAGGATCGACGCATTTTTGATTCTGGCAGGCCTTTTGTGGACCGCAATCAGAATTCCGTACACATTCCGGACGACAGCTAGGCGGATTACCGATGAAACCTTCAATGCAAGAGCAAACAGCGTTTTGATTGAATACGCGACAACGACTATTCGGACCGCATGGAGAAGGTTGGCAGGGATCAGTTACGATTTTTGCTATTGAAACAGAGAGAAAAAAAAATGGGGGGCACATTTAGCCACGTCAGTTTTCTGAGAGTTGGCCGTTAATATTTACGTGGTAGTGGATCACATTGGTAGAAAGCATTTCCGGACATGCCGTCGGGACAGCGACACATAGGGACGTGATTAAGCACCTCGCAGATGGCATTGACTCCGCACGTACCGGGGCATGGATCAACACACTTATTTCTAATGCACGCCTTATTTTGTGGACATTCAGTGTTGAGTACGCATTCCGGCCGGCAACCGACGAGTGGGTCGCCTTGATATTCTGGTATGCAGGAACATTGACCATCGTTGCACACTGCGTTGGGTCCGCAAGGTGAAGGATTACAGGGGTCGTCTTTTACCGGTGGTTTAGCTATGATGAGCGAAAACGAAAGACATGTAATCTGGCTTTAATAGAAGAAAAAACGACGTTCGCTTACGTGGTGGTGCTGGTTGACAGTTGACGAATGGATCGCCGATATATTCACGCGGACACGAGCAAATCGGTATGTGATTTATCACGCTACATTCTGCATTGTAAGCACACGAGCCCGGACAAGGATCTGTGCAACGATTATTGATGCAAGCCAGATTCGACGAGCACTCTGAGTTCGTGACACACTCGGGCCGACAGTTTGGTGGTGATCCAAAGAACTGAGGCAGGCAAGAGCACGCCGGTTGACCGTTCGCATTTCTGCACTGCGAATTGGGGCCACATGGTGACGGCAAGCAAGGATCGCGTATTGGTTCAGCAAAAACAGTCGGTGGTGGCGCTATTCAAGTGATATGACGTTTAGAAAGAGTAATACAAAGGAGTTAATAAGCAAACTCACGAGGTATGGGATAGCAACGGGTAAACGGATCTCCAGTGTAGCCGTTTTGACAAGAGCAGAGTGGTGCGTGGTTGCGCACTTGACATTGAGCGCCGGTTCCGCAAACGCCTGGACATGGATCGGCGCACTTCTGATTAATGCACGCCTTATCGAAGCTGCACTCAGCACTAATTGTACACTCAGGTCTGCAGGCGGGTGGTGTGCCGATAAACTCCGGCAGGCAAGAGCAGACGGCTTGGCCATTTAATTCGCGGCACTGGCTATTCGGGCCGCAGGGTGTTGGTTCACATGGATTGACGTACTCTTGTAGTGGAGCTAAAATGTGGGGAAGGGAATGTTAAAATGGCACTGGGCAACAATCCTCTGAGAGTCAAAGTTTGTCTTACGTTTTTCCTCAACCGCGCAATAACGATACGGATCTCCTACATAGCCAAATAAGCAGGAACATGTGGGCAAATGATTTATGGTGAAACACTCAGCATTCAGTCCGCAAGTACCCGGGCAGGGATCGCGACATTTCTGATTGATACACGCCTTGTTCGATGGACAATCGGTGTTGAGTACGCATTCAGGACGACAACCTTCATAAGGATTGCCGAAGTATTCCGCAAGGCATTTACACGAACCCACGCCATTTTGCTGGAGACATTCGGCGAAGGGACCACATGGATTGGGGTTGCATGGATCAACAACTTCAGTGGGTTCGCGCACAATCAAAGTGCACTGCACAAATGGATCGCCAGTGTAACCGCTCTCACAGTAACACATTGATGAATGGCTTATAACACGACACAGCGCATTATTTCCGCATAGTCCGGGGCAGGGGTCGACACAACGATTATTACGGCACACATTATTCGAAGCGCATTCAGAGTTTGTTACACATTCGGGTCGACAATTCGGTGGCTGACCAAAGAAGTTCTCGAGACAGGAGCAAGACGGTGAATCGCCCACAGGTTGACAGCGACTGTTCGGACCGCAAGGTGAGGGCTGACATGGGTTGACTGGCACAACATCTCGCACTGGCTCAACTAAATTGGATAGGCGAAGGGGTAAGGGTCATAAAGAGGACTACTTCAAACAGTTGCTAAACTCACTTATCGGACGACACTGCACGAAGGGGTTTCCTGTGTAGCGTTCATTGCAAGTACAGAAGGGATTATGATTGACAACCGTGCATTTCGCATACAATCCACAAGTTCCAGGGCATGGATCCATGCAGCGTTGATTCTGGCACGCGCGGTTCGGCGCGCAATCAGAGTTCGTGGTGCATTCTGGACGGCAAGACGGCGGGCTGCCTAGGTAGTTGGGTAAACAGCTGCATACGGCTTGTGAGTTCACTTCGCGACATTGTGAGTTTGGACCGCATGGTGAGGGCTGACAAGGATTGCGGTAAGTATCAGCTGGTGGAAAGAAATAATGGTGTTGTAGTGGGGCGGTTTGAAAAAATTTATACGAAGGAAACATACTCTGTACTGCTAAGCATTGCACAAATGCATTGCCAGTCATGCGTTCGGGGCAACGGCACATGGGCACGTGATTATAAACTTCGCAAATGGCCTCCGTGCCACAAGTTCCGGGGCAGGGATCAACACATTTCTGGTGTATGCAGGCGCGATCACGCTCGCACTCGGTGTTAAGTATGCACTCCGGTTTGCAGGCGACATACGGATCACCCTGGTAGTCGGCGAGACAAGCGCATTGTCCATCACCGGAACAGATTGCGTTGGCCCCACAGGGGCTAGGATTGCAAGGATCAATGGGTTCTTGTTGCGGTGGTGCTATAATTTATAGGCAAAGGTTAGGTAGTGGGGATAAGTAAATCCAAACAAAGCTTACGAGGTGGTGGCGCTGGCTGGCAAGCAACGAATGCATCGCCTATATAACCGGGTTGACAAACGCAGTTGGGTATATGATTTACAACATTACACACAGTATTCACACCGCATGCACCTGGACAGGGGTCACGGCAACGCTCATTAATACACGCCTGACTGCTCGGGCAGTCAGAATTCATCGAACACTCGGGTCGACAGTTTGGTGGGGCGCCTATATAGTTCGGCTGGCACGTACAAGATGGCACATTGTTTTGAACGCGACAAGTGGCGTATGGGCCACATGGCGATGGCACGCAGGGATCACGATAGACATCGGCGGGTTGTGGTGGTGTTGGCGCTAAGACAGAGTGGTTAGATATTGGATTTGGTAAAAATAGTTGCGCGTTAAATGCATTGCTTTGCTTACGTGGTAGTGGGTAACAACGCACGAATGGATCGCCTGTCAAGCCGGTGCGACAGGAACATATTGGACTATGATTGCGCACCTGACAAATGGCGCTTTGTCCACAAACACCCGGGCAAGGGTCGACACATTTACGATTAATACACGCCTTATCGCTGGCACATTCTGAACTGGATGTACACTCGGGTCTACAGGATGGTGGCACACCAATAAACTCACTAAGGCATGAGCAGACAGCTTGACCGTTAACTTCGCGACATTGGGAATTCGGTCCACATGGGCTGGGTTGACATGGGTTTACGTACTCTTGTACTATGGCTACATTAGTTTTTTTGTTTTTGTTATATGTACATAGATTGAAAATGAACCAAACAAAGTTACAAAGTTAGTGACTACATACAATACAATGACGACAACAACGAGCTACATGTACTGCTTGTGTAGCGGAAATAAAACCAGTGAAGACCAAAGTGCTGCTGGGAGCTGAACGAAAGTCCTTCAGTTCCAGCAGCAGACTGTCCCGTGGCTTTATCCCTCTAGCACATGTCAGTACAGTTTGTTTAAAGTAAAAATTCAAAATCGCTAGCTTACGTTCAGCTGGTCTTGTACAATAGCGGTACGGATCTCCGGTGTAACCCACGTAGCAGTTGCAAGTTGGTATATGATTGACGACATTACATTCGGCATTCTGTCCACAGGTACCTGGACACGGATCGCGACATTTTTGATTCTGACACGCTTTGTTCGAGGGGCAGTCCGAATTAAGCACGCACTCTGGACGGCAGCCCTCATAGGGATTACCATAATATTCAGACAGGCATTGGCAAGCGCCCGCGCCATTACGTTCGAGGCAGTTTGCGTTGGCGCCGCAAGGCGATGGCGAACATGGATTGAGTACTTCAATAGGCGCGGAAATACGTACTGGCTGACAAAGCGTGAACGGATCACCTGTGAAGCCAGGTAAGCAAATGCAGCGTGGTGTATGCGATACGACGTGACATTCAGCACTGGAGCCACACAGGCCTGGGCAAGGATCTTTACATTTCTGATTGATGCAGGCCTTCGTTGAGGGACACTCCGAGTTCGAGACACATTCTGGCTTGCAGTACGGTGGTGTGCCTATGAAGTTGGCTAGACAACTGCACGATGGTGTGTCGCCCACTGAACGACATTCTGAATTGGGTCCACAAGGTGAGGGGTGGCAAGGATTGGTTGGTGAGACGTCCAGCTGCGGTTGTTCGATGATGCGTTGGCAGGCGACAAATGGATTACCTGTGTATTGCGGTAGACACGTGCAGAAAGGATTGTGATTGACGGTGTTGCACTGTGCGTTACGTCCGCAACTGCCAGGGCAAGGGTCAACACATTTCTGATTTACACATGCCAAGTTGGCCGCACACTCCTGATTAGCAGTACACTCGGGACGGCAGCTTGGAGGAGCGCCTATGTAGCCTGGTATGCAGGAGCAGACAGCCTGCTCATTCACTTCACGGCATTGTGAATTAGGACCGCAGGGAGAGGGCTGACAAGGGTTGACCTTGGCGGGTGCTGTAAGTTGAAGGTAAGGGAGTATGTGGAAAGTTCTTATGGTAGAGCGTAGAGAAAATAATATTTACGTGGTATCGGCGAGCATTGGATAAACGCGTTGCCCGACATGCCGTTTGGACACGAACAGATTGGTATATGATTGATGACGCTACAAAGAGCATTTGAAGCACACGTGCCTGGGCAAGGATCGACACATTTATTGCGTATGCAGGCACGGTCGCGTGGACAGTCGGTGCTGAGAACACATTCGGGGCGACAGCCGTTGTAAGGATCGCCCTGGTATTCCGGTAGACATGTACAAATGCCATCGTTGCATTGGGCATTTGAACCGCAGGGTGAGGGATTGCAGGGATCATCTTTGACAGGCGCTAAATGAATAATGAGAGTGGATAATTAGAAGGGGCAACTTTTTTCGGAGGCTTACGCTTTGGCGGTGGTTCTGGCAGACAATAAGTAAAGGGATCGCCAGTATATCCCGTGGGACAGACACAGCTCGGTGTGTGATTGATAACATTACAGATAGCGCCTAAACCGCAAGAGCCGGGACAAGGATCGCGACATTTTTCGTTGATACACGCTTGGTTGCTTGGACACTCCGCGTTGATAGTACACTCCGGGCGGCAATTTGGTGGCGCCCCAATGTAGTTAGGAAGGCAAGAGCACGATGGCGAATCACCAATACGACGACATTGCGAATGCGGACCACATGGTGAGGGCACGCAAGGATCAACGGGCTGACGTTGCACTGGTGCTGGTGGTTTGGCTGCAGTATAAAATGTAAATATATCTCCATTTTCTAGACAACAATCAAAGCTTTATCTTACGTGGTATAGCAAAACAACGCGAGAAAGCATCTCCAGTGTAACCTGCGCGGCAAGAACATAGAGGACTGTGGTTATGTACGCGACAATTGGCATTCTGACCGCATGTGCCCGGGCAGGGATCGACGCATTTCTGATTGATACACGCCCGGTCCAATGCGCACTCGGTCGAGATGGTGCACTCAGGGCGGCAAAGTGGCGGACTGCCAATGTATTCGGGGAGGCATGAACATACAGGCTGTTCGTTTATTTCACGGCACTGCGAATTGGGGCCACACGGCGAAGGTTGACACGGGTTGACATATTCCTTGATAGCTGTTGTAAGATAATTTTCTATATTTATTGGAACTAAGCTTTATATTTTACACTTTGGCTTACGTTGTTTCTCGATTTGACAAGCGCGGTATGGATCACCACTATAGCCCGACAGACAACTGCATGTTGGCACGTGGTTCAACACCGCACAGTTGGCATTTTGTCCACAGGTGCCTGGGCATGGGTCGCGGCACTTCATGTTCTGACAGGCTTTGTTGGATGGACAATCGGAATTGAGCATGCACTCGGGCCTACAGCCTTCATATGGATTACCAAAATATTCAGGTAGACATTGGCATGAGCCGGCATCATTGCGTTGCACGCAACGCGCATTCGGACCGCATGGACTTGGATTGCAAGGATCGATATGATCAAGTTGTGGGATTTTCACTTCCACACATTGTACGAATGGATCTCCTTCCAAGCCGGCGGGACAATAGCAGCTTGGTGTGTGTGAAAGTACACGGCAGAGAGCGCTATTGCCACACAAACCGGGACAGGGATCTTTGCATTTCTGATTAATACAGGCCAAGTTTGTAGCACATTCTGAGCTAGTCACGCATTCGGGTCGGCAATTGGGTGGCGCGCCGCTGTAATCAGGCAAGCAAGTGCACGAAGGCTGCTCACCCACCACACGACATTCTGAATACGGACCGCATGGTGATGGTACACAAGGCTGACTAGGCGGACGAGGTGCCGGTGATTCTAAAATTTGTTGGCAGCTGATAAATGGATTACCCGAATATCTATCGGGGCAGCGACAGAACGGACTATGATTAGTGACATGGCACAGCGCATTGTTGCCGCAAACGCCTGGGCAAGGATCGTTGCATTTCTGATTGAGACAAGCTTGATTGAGCGGGCACTCGGAATTGGTTGTGCATTCCGGACGACAGAAGGGTGGACTGCCGATGAAGGATGCGATACAGGAACAAACGGCTTGCTGGTTAACCTCACGACACTGGCTATTCGGACCGCAAGGTGTTGGTTGACAAGGATTCTGCGGTACATCCAACTCTGTAAAAGTGTGATATATAGGAATAGTGCAAGAAGCGCTTGTACGACTCGTGATCTTACTCGGTGTTGGTGTGCATTGTACAAAAGCATTGCCTTCCATACCGTCCGGACAACGGCAAATGGGTATATGGTTCATAACCTCGCATATGGCATTGGAAGCGCATGTACCGGGGCAGGGATCAATGCATTTATGGCGTACGCAGGCACGATCTCGAGCGCAATCGGTGTGAAGCACACACTCTGGACGGCATCCTGTGTAGGGATCACCCTGATACTCCGGTATGCATGTGCATTGGCCGTTGTTACATTGCGAATTTGGACCGCAGGGTGATGGCACGCACGGATCGTCTTGGGGCACAACTTCGACTGTGCGAAAAAATAAGTAAGTACTAAATATGAATGCTTTCAAACTGACTTCGAACTTACTTCGCGGTGGTGGTAGCGGATTGCAGATGGTGAAAGGATCGCCAGTGTAGCCGATCTGGCACGTGCATATTGGTGTGTGATTTATAACGTTACACAATGCGCTGAGGCCGCAAGAACCTGGGCAGGGGTCGCGACATTTCTGATTGATACATGCCTGATGACTGGGACATTCCGAGTTGAGACTGCATTCGGGACGACAGGCTGGTGGCGTACCAAGGTAGTTCGGCAGGCAAGAACAGGAGGGTGTGCCATGCGCGTCGCGACACTGTGAGTTGGGACCACACGGTGAGGGTACGCAGGGATCTTGTGGTTCACGTTGTGGTGGTGGCGGTGATGGTGGTGCTATTAGTAGATAATATGATGAGGTCAGACTTTATTTACTAAAGCGTTCAAACGAGGAAGATCTTACTTATAATACGGAAACAGCGCGTGAACGCATCGCCAGTGAAGCCATTGTTGCAAGTACAGATGGGACTGTGATTCCTAACACGGCATTCAGCATTCTGCCCGCAGACACCCGGGCAAGGATTAACACATTTCCTATTAATGCATGCCTTATCGGAGGCACAATCAGAGCTTGATGTGCATTCCGGTCGACAGGCAGGTGGACTGCCGACGTACTCAGGTAGGCAAGAACAAACGCCTTGACCGTTAACTTCGCGACATTGGGAGTTGGGCCCACAAGGCGACGGTTGACAGGGATTAACGTAAACTCTGGCCGCTATAATTACGAATGTGGTTTATTAAATATTTGTTGCCACAGTTAACTCTATAGTATGCTTACGTTCTTCTTGCACAACTTGACACAGTCGATATGGATCACCAATGTAGCCGGCATAGCATTCACACGAAGGTACATGGTTGATAACCTGGCATATTGCATTCGTACCACAAGTACCTGGGCATGGATCGACGCATTTCTGATTTTGACAAGCCTTGTTCGATGGACAATCTGTGTTGAGCACACATTCTGGACGACAGCCTTCATATGGGTTACCAAAGTACTCGGGTAAGCACTGACAAGAACCGGCGCCATCGCGTTCTTCGCATTTAGCATTGGCGCCACATGGACTGGGATTGCATGGCCTTAATACTTCAATTGGCGCAGCTTGCACTGGGTTACATTGCGAGAATGGATCGCCAGTGAAACCGACTGCACACAGACACATTGGTGTGTGACTGAAGACGCGACAATTAGCATTCAGGCCACACAAACCAGGACATGGGTCTTTACACTTTTGGTTTATGCAGGCTTGCGCCGATGGACACTCTGAGTTCGAAACACATTCGGGACGACAGTTTGGCGGTGAACCTGTAAAATCTGGCAGACATGAGCATGACGGCGAGTCACCCGTTACGCGGCACTCGGAGTTCGGACCACAGGGCGAGGGAATGCATGGATTGGCAGGTGTGACATCAGCAATGGGAGTAACTATTGTGGGAAATTCCAAAGAAGTTTAACAAAAGAAAAACAAAAATTCGTGACAACTCTTACTTATCTGCTGGCAGCGTACAAATGGATCTCCAGTCATTTGATCGCGACATATACAGAATGGATTGTGATTGACGACATTGCATACGGCATTGAAACCACATGTGCCTGGACATGGATCGCGACACTTAGAGTTCTGACAAGCCTGATCTGGCGGACAATCGGAGTTTGTTGTACATTCCGGACGACATTGCGGTGGACTACCTATAAAGCTCGGTAGACAAGAGCAGACGCCTACGTTTTGTACCTCACGACACTGGCTATTAGGGCCACAAGGCGATGGTTGACATGGATTTCTCAAAATTGGCGCTGAAGTATGAGAATAAGGAGCAAATTGTAAAATGTTTAGCAATAAATAAATCTCGGTCTTACTTTCGTTGACGCGACATTCAAAGAACGCGTTGCCCGACATATTATCCGGACAATGGCACATGGGTACGTGATTGTTGACAACGCAAATCGCATTCGTGCCACAAGTGCCGGGACAAGGATCGATGCATTTGTTGCGAACACAGGCGCGATCACGCGCACAATCTGAATTGAGAACACATTCTGGACGGCAACCTACAAAAGGATCACCCTGATATTCAGGTATACAAGTGCATTGGCCATTGTTACATTGTGCATTCGGGCCGCACGGTGATGGCACGCACGGATCGTCGTGCACTGGTGCTTGAGTAGCTGTTCGAAGAAGAGGAAAACCAGAGAGTTTAAGGATCGCGCTGCATTTGCATGCTTCATTGAATTGAGGTCTTACGTGCTGGTGGTTTCGGACTGCAGCTGATGAACGGATTGCCTACGTAATTGTCTATGCACAGGCATGTCGGCGTATGATTGATTACACGGCATACTGTGTTTTGGCCACAAGCGCCTGGACAGGGATCGCGACATTTCTGATTGATACAAGCCTGCTGACTGGGGCACTCGGCATTGATGGTGCACTCTGGGCGGCAGTTGGGTGGCTGACCGATGAACGTCGCCAAGCAAGAGCAAGATGGTACGCCATTTACATTACGACATTCTGCGTTGGGGCCACAAGGTGAGGGTAGGCAAGGGTCACGATATTCTTCGCGTTCAATTTCGATAGGTGGCGCTAAATACGAAAGAAATTTGCGATCAGCATGAGAGAATATGGCTTGTGCCGTGTCTATTAGCTCACGTGGTATAGGGTAGCATCTTGTAAATGCATCGCCGGTGAATCCATTGTTGCAAGTACAAATCGGGCTGTGATTTCTAACGCGGCATTGTGCATTGCTGCCACATGGATCGGCTGCGCATGGGTCCGCGCATTTCTGATTTATGCAAGCCTTATCGGTGGCACATTCAGAAGAAATGGTGCATTCGGGGCGACATGCTGGTGGCGTACCTATAAATTCCGGCAGGCAAGAGCAGACAGCCTGTTCATTAGCTTCGCGACACTGAGAATTAGGACCACAGGGCGAGGGTTGGCATGGATTGACGTACTCGGTGCGCATGGCTGTGGTAGCGAGGGTACATTAAAATTAGTTAGAATTGTTAGCAAAGTCTACGGGAAAACATTCTTACGTTCAACAGGACGCGTGCAAATACGATATGGGTCACCGATGTAGCCAGTAATGCAAGTACAAGATGGCAAATGGTTGACCACTTGGCAATCGGCATTCTGACCACACGTGCCCGGACAAGGATCCTGACACTTTTGTTGCTGGCACGCCTTATTCGACGGACAGTCTGAATCCATTACACATTCAGGGCGACAGCCCTCGTAGGGGTTACCAAAGTATTCGGGCAAACATGTGCATGAACCAGCGCCGTTGCGCTCGCGACATACTGCATTGGGGCCACACGGACTCGGACTACAAGGTGTGCGTATTTCAACAACGTCACGTTCTGGCGGCAGGCTACATTGCACGAATGGATCGCCTGTATAACCAACCACACAATTGCACTGAACTGCATGGCTGACCACACGGCATTCTGCATTCAAGCCACAGCGTCCAGGGCAAGGATCAACACATTTCTGATTGATACATGCCAAAGAGCTGGCGCAGTCTGAACTTGTGACGCATTCAGGACGACAATTTGGCGGACGCCCTATGTATGACTCGAGGCAGGAACATGATGGCGCTTCCCCAATAGGACGACACTGTGAGTATGGACCGCAAGGCGATGGACGGCAAGGATCTGTTGGTGTGATGTCGCGGGGTGGTTCGACTGTGTAAAAAAATTTAACTCAGTTGTAGAATTATTCCAGAGATGTAATAGGAAAGCATTTTCTTACTAATCGGTTGGCAGCGTACGAAGGGATTGCCACTGAAACGCGGCGGACAGGTGCAGAAGGGACTGTGATTGACGACAGTGCATTTGGCGCCGATGCCGCAAGTACCGGGACATGGGTCACCGCACTTCTGGTTCAGGCAAGCCTGTGTAGGCGCACAATCAGAATTCGACACACATTCAGGACGGCAAGTTGGCGGACTACCCATGAAGTTGGGCAGGCAGGAACAGACGGCTTGTTGGTTGACTTCGCGGCATTGAGAGTTCGGACCGCAAGGTGAGGGTTGGCATGGATTTGTGGCTATAATTTCTGGTAAAGACGTACACAAGTTATAAGTACCTTTAGGTGGGGCTAAATGAAAGTACGCGAGCTTACTTGGTGCCGGACTGCAACGGATGAAGGCACTACCGACCGTGCCATCTGGACACCTGCACATGGGTATATGGTTTATGATGTCACAAATGGCGTTTTCGCCGCATGTGCCGGGACAGGGATTAGCGCATTTGCTGCGCAAGCATGCCTTATCGCGCGGACAGTCTGTATTCAAAACACATTCGGGACGACAACCTGTGTACGGATCACCCTGGTATTCGGGCAGACATGTGCAAATGCCGTTATTGCATTGAGCATTTGCGCCACAAGGCGACGGATGACAAGGATCGGTGGGTTCATCTGAGTAACGAAAAATAGTTTTTTTGTAATGTAACCGTGAAGAATGGTTTTGGGTAAAACTTTGCTTACTAATGATAGGTTCTGGTGGCTGCGGACGACAATTGGTGAAGGGATCGCCGGTATAGCCATCGGGACACGTACAAATGGGTGTGTGATTGACGACACTACACTCCGCGGAAAAGCCGCAAGAGCCAGGGCAAGGATCGATGCATTTTTCGCGTATGCAAGCCTTGTTCGATGGACACTCAGCGCTTATGGTACATTCCGGATGGCAGTTGGGTGGCGCGCCAATGTAACTCTGCAAACAGGAACAAGATGGGACACCGTTGATGTTGCGGCACTCGCTGTGTGGCCCACAAGGCGAGGGTACGCAAGGATCACGTTCAATATACGAAATTGCTGGTGGCGCAGCTAGAGTTTGAGGAAAATAAAATTAGCGGTTTGCTTTGTTGTTAAGGGACTGCAGTAACGCTTACGTGGTATGGGATAGCAACGCGTGAAAGCATCGCCAGTAAAACCGTTACGGCACTGACATAAAGGACTGTGATTACGCACGCGGCACTCGGCATTCGTGCCACACGTGCCGGGACAAGGATCTTGACAATGTTGATTGATGCACGCCTTATCGTAGGGGCACTCAGTGCTAAGTACACATTCCGGCCGGCAATTCGGCGGTACACCGACATAACGCTCCAAACACGAACACACCGCCTGACCGTTGAGTTCACGACACTGCGAGTTGGGACCACATGGCGAGGGTTGGCAAGGATTGGTTGGTGGCGCTTGACGAATAGCTGATAGATTTCAAACAGGAAAGAGAATAAAGAGTGAAGAAGGAAGATGAGCACATTGGTAATTAGGTACGTAGACGCTGCTAAGCTATGCTTACGTGCTGCTGGCTCCACATGACAATAACGATACGGATCGCCCGTATAACCGATGTGACACGTACAAGTTGGCACGTGATTTGTGACGCTACAATCAGCGTTCGTGCCACACGTACCCGGACAGGGATCGCGACATTTCTGCTGAGTGCACGCTTGCGTAGTGGGACAATCCGAGTTACGCAAACATTCGGGGCGACACGATTGATATGGGTCACCAAAGTAGTCGGGTAAACACTGACACGAGCCAATGCCGTTACGATCGCGACAAATGGCATTCGAGCCGCACGGATTGGGCTCGCACGGCGTAACTTGCTCGTGTACAATACGCTCTGTGGGAGAGAGAGAGAAAGATGCGAAAAGAGAAAAAGTTAGAGAGGATTGACAAGTGCAATGACATTAGTAAAGTCAACACACCTTTTACGATTGAGTTGAGCAGCATTTTGTGATTTTTATTTTTATCTTTTGCTTTTTGGGTTAAAATCCAATTTGTGTAATTTTAGTAGCTTATTGCACTTTTGCGTTTTACAAAAAACAGCAGTGGGATTAGAGCACATTAGTTGATTATTTCCTATTTGGTTTTTCCAACACACACACACTATGACAACAACAACAACAATAAATATACGTACGAGTACGTAGTGTACGTAAATGTGGTTACGTTGGTTACGGTGATTACGTGTAATGGTTAACTCAGCACGTTTAAAAAATTTAATAGTTAGCTAATACATAATTTGCGGTGCACTTACGAGTACGAGTATAACGGTTGCACTTAAGTTAAGTTACGGTTTATGCGAGTATACGGTGCAACACTGCGTTTGTGTGAGACATTTTTTTTGTTTACTAAAACTTGAGTTTTGGCTTTTTTGGTTAAATTGCTAGTTGCTAGTGTTTGTTTAAGAGTGTAAAATGGCGAGCGTGTGAGTGCAAATGAATGTGCGCGCGTCTACTTTAGCGATTTGTTACTGTAAAAAATTTCGAGAATTGCTTAACGAAATTTTCAGTGTATTTTTGTTTTTTTTTTCTTGCAATAAAACGCAATTGTTTTTAGTTTCCAATTTCAAAATTTTTTATTAGATATATTATTTGCTTAAATAATTTTGAGTCTTTTTATTTAGTAGAGCTTTACTTAGACTAACTTAAATAGTTAACTTTGTTAAGGGTTAAAAGTACAATACTTCCAGCGTTGAGTCATTCTGATTGCAAAAAAAGCGACGTTGAGCAGACAACAAATTTTAGGGCCGTTGACAAATTTTATAAAACCAGCAAATACCAAATTGTTTTCAATTAGGGGTTTCAAGGCATTTCTGGTTAGATTTGGCGGTTAGAGGGCAGGCGGTACGCAATAAAACACAACAAAAAAAAACACCAACGCAGTACTTGACGCACTTCAAAGGTTTAGTATGCGGCAGGTATTTCGCTAAGTGTAACAAATTGTAGCGTTTGTGGTAGTGTGTAGGGGTATTAGGGACAGCAATTTGTTTAGTTTTGTTTTGGTGTTGTATGTAATAAGCGTTTCAAATTCCTTTGTTTTTTTTTTTTTAGTTTTTAAAGGCAGTCCGTTTTATTTTTTTTTTTTTTTTTTTTTTTTTAACAGACTTGAGGGTTAAAGTGTGAATGCAATTCAGGGCCGACTAGCAGTTAGCTCGGTTTTAGGGGCTCTTATTCTAATGATTATTATTTTAAATAAGCGTTTAATTTTATTTCTTCGCATTTGCAACTTTCTTACAGCTACAAAAACAACCTATGCATGTAAAATTTCCAACAACAAAGCGTATTATTGTTTTCAATACGGCAGCGTTAAGGTTTGTATAACCTAGGAGGCGAGGCGGTAAATAAGGCGTTTTTTTATTTGAGGCAAGTAAAGCGTTTAGCAAGTTGACATCATGGATAAATAATAAGCATTATATGTTGGTTAAAATTTCAATTTTAATATAATAAAAACAATGCCTTTTACAGCTGCCACACACCTTCAAAGACTAAACAAATTCGGACAGTTCGTACGAGATTTGCGCCAATTGAAGTTTGCATTTTGCGGATGAGGTGCCATGTACACAAATATGTCGTGAGCGTGGTGAGTACAAAAAAAAATATATATATAACAATAAAAAAATTTAAGATTCTCAAAATTTAAGAAATTAAAAACATTAAAAAATTATTCAGAACAAATTAAAAAAATTAATTTAAAATTAAAAAATCTAAAAACATTCAATGTAAAAAACCCAAAATAGGAATAAACTAAAATAACTAAGTATTGAAAACTAATTAAGAAAATTACAAAATTCTCAAAGTAATATAAAAAAGTTAAATTGAAAAAATTGTGAAATTATAAAAAAATGAGAAAACTATTTTTCTGTGGAAGATAAGCTAATAAAACATTAATTACAATCAAAAATGATAATGAAAACGAATAAATCATAATCATAAAAAACTTAAATAAAATGAAAAAACTTATTAAGTAAAAAAATTTATATTTCATAAAAAATTAAAACCAAAAATCAAGAAAAAATCTCAAAATTTTAAAACATACCAACATATACCGACATAAAAAAATATTTAAAATGTGCGTACACGAACCTTGTTTTTTCCCATTGCAATGCATTGTGTTTGACAGTGTAAAAAACATGATTTTTATTTGCTTGTGTTAAAGTGAATAATAAATAATTATAATAATAACAAATTAGAACAGTTGTGGTGCGTGCGCGATTTGTAACTTAGTAACATTTATTTTGTGAACGTACATATACATATATGTAGTTAAACAATAAACAAACCTTTATTGTATGTGTGTGCAACAAAAATACAGACACATATTCAAATTTAAAAAATTAACTGTTTATCGTGACAGCAAAATTCAATAAATATAAAATTATTTAAAAGTTATTCTAAAAAAAACATAGATAGCACGAAGTTAACCGTTTGCCTACACATGATGGGTTCTCTAATAGACGCGCCCAAAATAGGTTATGACAACTGTTCCCAAAAAAAATTTCACATTTTGTGGTGGTGTTCGCTATTAGTCGTAGACACTTAATGTGATAGGATAGTCTTAGTTGCACTGGACCTGACCTTTCGAAAGCATGCTACTCGGGCGACCGTCATGGTGTTACTTAAATGCATTGAAAAATCTTTCTTTCCCCCTCAATGAAAGGATTGCTTAGTTCCCTACGTAGTGGTTGACTCTTTCGACAGGTTGGGAAGATATAGCAATTTGGAACGAATTTGATCCAAATCAAAATACTTATCGACTCTTCTATAACAACACTCCCTCCTCTATTGATCTCAGAGCAGCTCGATTTTATTGTCGTTCAATAACAATTAATGACTTAGGTACATAACGAGCCCTAAGGCATATCAATGCCGTACATCTGCATCACAGAGCGAATTTTGAAAACAAAAAGCCCCTTAAGTTTCCTCCACAGTTAAGGCTTGGTATGTTGCAATTTGAAAGAGTATCTTTCAAAACCTTTCAGTTCCTTCAAAGCTCGGAGCTTAACACTTTCACTCAATCCATCAATAGTAACTCCATTTACAAACTGGACATAGAAGGTCAAACTGAAGTTAGGTATTCGAATATTGTTTTGCTTACTTTCGAATCATTCGAAGTTAGTTCTCCTGACGGATTCGGACAACAAAGTGGACAGACCGGGGAAAGTTACAGAACCGGAAGCTAAATATACAAACCCTAATTCGTATTCAATGCCAGTAAGGGTTGCATAAGGGCAGTACCAATAGACGAGTGACCATCTACTGCACGCTGCAGGTAAAAAAGGAAAACTTGGGAATAAGAAGCCTGATACGCTAGCTAAAGTCTTGGCAAGACTATCGTCGGCCAATGTCTCTCAAATATGTTCATCCCTCTGTCTTAGCTATCTCTAAACAAAACTAGTTGATTTATTTAACCCTTTCGGGACCAAGGAAAACATATTTCCTAAAAATTTAGTCCATTTATTTATGGATATTGTGTGAGTTTTCAGTAGTATTTTAAATTTTTAAATGTGCTTAATTCAGCTGGTTAGAAAGTTAGAAAGTTTAGAAAAAAAATGAATTTTTCAAAACAAGGGTTTTTTTGGAAATTTCATTTAAAAAAAGTTTACTTTTGCGATATTAACATAATTTCGGAAAAAACTTAAAAAAAATTTACCAAATATTAGAGACTAAAATTTTGTTTGGAGAAAAAAATTATTTTTACGGTAACTATCTTTGATAATAAGATTAAAAAATAAAAAATTTTTAGGATACAAATATAAAGGGAACATGAAGGTAGTTCTTAGATTTTTTTTGGAAATTTCATTTCAAGAAAAAATAACAGGAAATACAGTTTTTTAGGAAAGAAATCTGTTTACCCAAATTGAAAAAAAATACCAAACATTAGAAACTAGAATGTTTTGAAAAAAAAAATATTATTACGGTAAATCTATGTCGAGAAAAACTATGTTATTTTAAGATTTTTTATGATAAAATTATTTGTTAAGAAAGTAATGTCAACAAAAATTATAAAAACTGTTTTCCCAAAAAAAAATACTTCTTTGAAGAAAAGCAGCACATATGTATTTGAAAAACAAATTGGGAAAACACGTAAAAAAATTTAAAAAAGTCTTAAAAAAATAGTTTTTGAAAAAATTATTTTATAGAAAAAAATGACGTGATGAACGAAAATAAAATTTTGGAATAAAATACTAGAAAATAATTAGCTTTTAGTTGAAATTAATGAGAATTTTTAGGAAATATTTTTATTTAATTTTTAGTTATGCAATTTTTTTAGCCTTCAATTTATAACATTTTAAAACTCAGTTGAGCTTTTTTTACTATAGGCTTATGGTCTTGAGAGGGTTAAGGGAATCTGTCTAACACCACAAGCGCGCTATGGTAGGATATCCGAGAGCCCTTTCTGTGTCAATGTCCAACATTCGCAATTTAGCCTCCCCGGCCCCTCTCATCTGTGGAGGATATACATATATAGCTAACCAAGGTAACCTAACGTTCCCACTACAAACAAATTTATATTTACTAGTGTTCGCCCAGCGGTTGAAATTCAACCGATAAAATTAAGGATAGTTTATGTAAGTTGAATGAGCTAAAATAACATTAGTTGGAATGGGTTAAGTGGAGGGGAGTTTAGCTTAGTACTTGGCATAACATAACATAACCATAACATAAGAATAAATAACATAACATATGAAGCATAACACACCACAATATAACATCGCACACTCTTCAGTTGTATTTCCTTTTTATCCCTTTTTTCACCTCTATCTAAATCTTATTTATTTTGGTTCATTTTATGCCAAATGATGTTGCCTTTGAAGCCACATCAAGTGATATCATGTCATTTGGTGAAATTGGGTGTGGTGAGCTGCGGTGTGGTGGAATTGGGTGTAGGAGTTACGGTGTAGGGAATTTAGGTGTGGTGGATTCAGGTGTGGTGAGTTAAGTTATGGTGAGAAAGTTGAGGTGTGGTGAATTAAGGTGTGGTGAATTTAGGTGTGGTGAGTTGAGGTGAGTTAAGGTGTGGTGAGAAAGTTGAGGTGTGGTGAATTAAGGGTGGTGGATTTAGGTGCGGGGGTTAAGGTGTGGCGAGTTGAGGTGTGGTGAATTTAGGTGTGGGGAGTTAAAGTGTGGTGAATTAATGTGTGGTGAGCTCAGGTGGAGTAAGTTTTTAAGTTAAGATGAGTTAAAGTTAAGGGGTTATGATCTTTATCCTTATCTTCATCTTCATCTTCATCTTCATCTTCATCTTCATCTTCATCTTCATCTTCATCTTCATCTTCATCTTCATCTTCATCTTCATCTTCATCTTCATCTTCATCTTCATCTTCATATCCACCTTCGTTTGTATTTAGGTTTCTTTACTTTTATTCTAATCTTTGCCTTTATCCCTTTCTTCTTCTACATATTCAACTTTACCTTCTTCCTTGCATGAATCTTAATCTTCGTAAATCTGATTTCTAAACTGCTGCTTAGCAGATTTCTTTAATTCAGTATCAATATTAAAGCAATGTCATTGATGCCACATAAAGTGATATCATGTCATGTGGGGAAATTGGGTGTGGTGGTTTGCGATGTGGTGGAATTGGGTATGGGAGTTACGGCGCTGTGAATTCAGGTGTGGTGGGCTTAAGAGGTGCGGTGAGTTTAGGTGTGGTGAATTTATCTGTGGTGAGTTGAGGTGTGGTGAATTTAGGTGTGGGGAGTTAAGATGTGGTGAGTTGAGGTGTGGTGAGTTAAGGTGTGGTGAGAAAGTTGAGGTGTGGTGAATTATGGTGTGGTGGATTTAGGTGTGGGGGTTAACGTGTGGTGAGTTTAGGTGTGGTGAATTTATCTGTGGTGAGTTGAGGTGTGGTGAATTTAGGTGTGTGGAGTTAAGGTGTGGTGAGTTGAGGTGTGGTGAGTTAAGGTGTGGTGAGAGAGTTGAAGTGTGGTGAATTACGGTGTGGGGGTTAAGTTGTGGTGTGTTTCGTCTTCATCTTCATCTTCATCTTCATCTTCATATTCATCTTTATCTTTATCTTTATCTTCATCTTCATCTTCATCTTCATCTTCGTCGTCTTGGTCTTCATCTTTATCTTTTCCTTTATCCTGATCTAAATATGTCCATTCTTTTCTTCATTTACATATTCACCCCCACCATTGTTATTAGGTTAGGTATTTAAATTTTCCTTCCTCTTTGTCTTTATATCTAGGTTTCTTTACTTTTATTTTAATTTCTGTATTTATCACTTTCTTCTTCCCCATACTCAACTTTACCTTCTTCCTTGTTTGAGTCTAATCTATTCATGTACATACATACATACATCTTATTCCTAAACTGCTGCTTAGCACGTTTCTTTAATTCGCTATCAATATTAAAGCATACATTTAGGGGGCATTTCCGCCCCAACCATGTACATGTATGGCATTGGTATTGGTGTGACTTTTGAATTGATTTTTTCGCTCTATTTTAAACTGATTTGAAATTTTAAAAATTGCCTGCACATCAGCATCAAAATACCTTTCTAATGATATATAATTGTTTATACCTTAGAAGTATAGTTTAGCCGTAAAAGGGGTGTAAAGGAAACATGATTGCCTATTTATATAATGATTTATTTTTGGATACGGACTGTCACTTCAAAACTTTAGACTTTTTTTGCTGTCCAGGGGTCCAGAGGATACCAATCAGAAAGCGAAACCTATCTTCAACCAATAGGACTGTGAAACTTCCTCGGGATATGAAAGATTTTTTAGGTGGCTGCATCAAAATTTTAACTGTCTAACAAACTTATTGCTACCGAGATCGTAAACGGTTAACTTTGTTAAACGAAACGAAAAACAATTTATTTAATTACTACGGAATTAAAAAAAAAAAAAACACTTAAAAATATCAGTCTAAACAAGAAAAAATTGTCACGAGCAATCTTTGGCAAATAGAAGATCAGAAATTGTTTTATTAAAAGTTTCAACACATTAAATTACTTGATTTCTCGCGGTGCAATTGCTAACCGTGCAAGTACACATACATACACATAAAATCAATTTTAATCTGTTCCAATTTGTTAAAAAATTAAGGATGATCAATTCTGGGGTGGAATTTTGAAGATGCCGATTTTTATTTTTTATTTTTTTAAATTAAAAATGGAGTCAATATCTATGGTTTGAAGGAATACCCAATTTGTTTCATGTATAAATGTTTGCGGCATCCCTCATTCCACGCACAGAATTTCCCATTCAGGTAACAACCGTTTTCCAATGCTTTAATGAATATAAGAGTAGCATTTTATTTTATTTTTATAAAAGCGCCCAACTTCGTTGATTAAAAAGCTAATTGATTCGTGATTTTTAACGGTTGTGCCTGCTGCATTTTCATATAAAATAAAGAGAAAATTGTGGTCCTACCTTGTACTGGTTGACAGCCGGTGAATGGATCACCGGTATATCCCACTTCACAGGTGCAGATGGGCATGTGATTGGCCACATTGCACCGCGCATTGAAGCCGCAAGAGCCAACACATGGATCTTCACATTTCTGGCGTATACATGCCTTCGTTGATGGGCATTCCGGATTGATGATACATTCTGGTCGACAATTAGGTGGTTTACCCAAGAAGCTGACGGCGCACGAGCAAGCGTAGCTGTCACCGACCACCTTACATTCAGAGTTCGGTCCACATGGTGATGGCACGCAAGGATTCGCATTTGGTGTCTTTTCGATGACACGTTCTTCGACGTAGCAACGCGTAAACGGATCACCTGTGTAGCCGGCGTTGCAAGTGCAGATCGGATTGTGGTTGATCACTTGACATTTGGCAAATTGACCGCATGCGCCCGGACAGGGATCTACGCATTTCTTTTGTATACACGCTGTTTGCAGCGAACATTCGGAGCTGACTATGCACTCTGGTTTGCAGGCCGGTGGTGAACCCAGCATGCCTGGTTGACAGGCGCAGACAGCGCCTTGTGCGCTAGCTTGGCATACGCTGTTGGGTCCGCAAGGACTGGGCTGGCATGGATCTTTCGGTGTTGGTTCACGTTGCACTTCGGGATGACAATTGATGAATGGATCGCCGGTGTAACCCTTTGGGCAACTGCAGATCGGAATGTGATTGCTGACGTCGCACTGCGCATTCTGGCCGCAAGTTCCCGGACATGGATCCACACACTTCTTGTTGAGGCAGGTCTTGTGCGGCGAACAGTCGGTACTGAGCGTGCACTCAGGTCGACAGCCTACGTACGGATCTCCTTGATAATCGCGTAAGCATGTGCAAATGCCATTATCGCATTCGGCATTAGCGCCACAGGGTTGCAGATCGCAGGGATCGGCTGATACGGTCGGTGGTGTTTTGACTTCGATGATTTCCACGCATTGCGAGAATGGATCGCCAGTAAAGCCACTGCGGCAAGTACAAATTGCCAGGTGGTTCTGTATGCGACACTCGGAATTGATGCCACATGTGCCTTCACATGGATTGCGGCATTTTTCAGCTATGCAGGACCTCTCCGGAGAACAATCAGTGTTGACGACGCATTCGGGGCGACAGTTGGGTGGCGCACCGATATAGTTGGGCAGGCACGAGCAGGACGGTTGATCGCCGCTGACACGGCACTCAGCGTAGAGGCCGCAAGGTGAGGGGAAGCATGGATTTTTCGGTGTCTTGGGTTCGTCTCTGGGCGCAGGTGGAGGTGCTGGATAGCAGCGCGAAAATGGATCGCCAGTCATATCTAGCGGACAACTGCATATCGGATTGTGGTTGATGACTTCACATTTCGCCTCCACACCGCATGTACCGGCGCAAGGATTAGCGCATCTGAAGTTATGACAGGCCTTATTCTGTGGACATTCCGTGTTGACGGTGCACTCTGGCTTACAATTGGGTGGCGCACCAATAAAGTTGTCTAAGCATGAGCAAACAGCAAGACCATTTGCTTCACGACATTTACTATTTGGCCCACAAGGTGATGGCTGGCATGGATTGCCTTGTGGTGGTGGTTGGGGTGGCGCAACTTGACGTTGGCAGTTTGAGAATGGATCTCCGGTATAGCCGTCATTGCACACACAATTCGGCACGTGATTAACCGCATAACATTGCGCGTTTGAGCCACAAATGCCAGGGCATGGATCCTTACATTTATTGCGTATGCAGGCCTTGTCCGTCGGACAGTCAGAGCTGAGCACACATTCTGGCCGACATCCATCGTAGGGATTGCCTTGGTAGTCGTCGATACATTTGCATGAAGCCGCACCATTACGTTCAATACATTCGGCGTTCGGACCGCAGGGCGATGGTTCGCATGGTTTGACAGGCTCTTCAATAGCTGGCACACATTGCACGAAGGCATTGCCGGCAAAGCCTTCAGGACACGAACAGGAAACTGTGTGACTAATCACGCGACACTCGGAATTTGTGCCACATGAGCCTGGACAAGGATCGCGACACTTGTTGTTGATGCATGCTTGGCTCGACGGGCAGTCTGGATTGATAATGCATTCTGGACGGCAATTTGGTGGCGAACCAAAGAACTCTGGCAAGCACTGACAGGATGGCCCGTTGGCGCTGGCTTTGCAAATCGAGTTAGGACCACAAACATTAGGTACACATGGATCGCGCGGTATGCCAGGGTCACGTTCTCGCGGCGGTTCTGGTGGTGGTATATCCAGACAGCGTTTAAATGGATCGCCAGTTTTTCCAGGCGGACAACCGCAAATAGGACTGTGATTAATAACTTCACAACGTGCTTCAATACCGCATGCGCCTGCGCAAGGGTCTGTACATTTTCGGTTAACGCAAGCTTGCAATGCCGAGCATTCACTAGACACAACGCATTCTGGACGGCATTGTGGTGGACTGCCAATGTAACCCTCTAGGCAGGAGCATACAGCATGACCATTAATATCGCGGCATTGGCTATTCGCACCACAGGGTGAAGGGGAACAAACTGCTTGCTTGGGCTCTTCAATTATTTCCTTAAGTCTACAGGTGCTGAACGGATCGCCTTCGTAGCCGGTGATGCAAGAGCACACTGGAATATGGTTGAGCACTTCACAAATGGCATTGATGCCACAAGTGCCGGGGCAAGGGTCTACACATTTGTTGCGCATGCACGCCTTGTCTCGTGGACAATCTGCTGAGAGCGTGCACTCTGGACGACAGCCATCATAAGGGTTGCCTTGATAGTTGTCTTGACAGCGGCATTCGCCATTGAAACAATCGGCATTTGGTCCACACGGGCTTGGATCGCAAGGATCGTTGGGAGTTTTTGGTGACTCCGTAACTGGTGGTATGGGACTGCAACGGATGAACGGATCGCCGGTATAGCCGTCAATGCAGTTACAAATTGGCACATGGTTGAGCACGTGACATTTGGCTTCGAAACCGCAAGAACCAGGACATGGGTCGCGACATTTTTGGTTGATGCACGCCTCAGTTGGTCCGCACTCCGAATTCAGCACACATTCCGGACGACAGTTTGGTGGTGCGCCGATAAAGTCTTGTAGACAAGAGCAAGCCGGACTACCGCCGACAATTTGGCATTTGGAATTAGGACCACAAGGCGAGGGAACACAGGACGGTGGACGTTCTGTGGGTTCCACGTCATGAATAATTGCTACAAGAAGAGAGGTGGGAGAGGGAAAGAGTTAGAAAATGCAACTGAGCTTATGAATAACTTGGTCGTGAGGCTACTTACGTATCTTTGAGCATTGTACAAATGGATCGCCAGTCATGCCGCGTGGGCAAGTACAGATCGGGCTGTGATTCTTTGTCGTGCATATGGCGCGTATGCCGCAAGTATGCAAGCATGGATCCACGCATTTGTTGTTCACGCACGCACGCTCCGGCGCACACTCTGAGCTTACAACGCACTCAGGTCGACAGTTGGGTGGTTGATTGATGAAGCCGGATTGGCAGGAGCATACAGCTTGGTCGTTTATGTTGCGGCAAATACTATTCGGTCCGCATGGTGATGGAACGCAAGGGTTGATGATAGGTGGTGGCGTAACTGGTATCGGTTTGCATTGGAAGAACGGATCGCCTGTGTAGCTAGGCGGGCAGTTGCAAGTAGGCACATGATTCTCTACAGAACATATGGCGAATTCGCCACAAATGTTGTTGCATGGATCAACGCACTTGAAGCGCACGCAAGCCTGAGCTGTTGAGCAGTCATCATTAACTTCGCATTCGCGTCGGCAACCGCGCTCCGTATCGTAGGGATTGCCTTCGAAACCGTCATGACAGTAGCATGCCCCGGCGCCATTGCGCTCTCTACATTCGGCATGTGGGCCACAAGGTGAGGGTTCACACGGTGATGTAGGCGGTTGCTTCGGCAGCACTGGTTCTATTAAATCGCAACCCAAAATAGGATCGCCTTCATAGCTGTCGGCGCACGAGCAGATCGCATTGTGTTGCACAACCTTGCAGAAGGCATTGCGCCCGCAAGAGCCAGGACATGGATCGACGCAACGTTCGTTCTGGCATGACAAATTGTTAGGGCACTCATCATTGTTGCTACATTCCGGCCGACAGTTTGGCGGGCGACCTACGTAGTTCAACTGGCAGGAACAAGCCGCCTGTCCGCCGATTTCGCGACACAACGAATTTGGGCCACATGGTGACGGCACGCAAGGATTTTGTGGATCACGCGGTGTTTCCTGCTCCTCCACGCATGATGTAAATGGATCGCCGGTCAAGCCAGCCGCGCAAGTGCAAATCGGATTATGATTCACCACTTGACAACGCGCATTATTACCGCACGCGCCACGACATGGATCGGCGCACTTCTGATTAATACAAGCGCGATTCTGTGGGCACTCCGAGCTGACGACGCACTCTGGCTTGCAAGTGGGTGGCGCACCGACATATCCATCGACGCATGAGCAAACAGCGTGCCCATTCGATTCGTGACATTCGCTGTAGGGACCACAAGGCGAGGGTTGGCATGGATTCAGTGGTGTCATAGTTGTAATTTCGATAACAGCGCAGGAACGATGTGGATCGCCGGTGTAACCATCAAAGCACATACAGTTTGGTGCATGATTTAGTACGCGACATTCTGCATTGATGCCGCAAACGCCAGGGCATGGATCTTGACACTTGTTATTGATGCAAGCACGCGAGCGATCACAGTCCGAGTTCTGTACGCATTCTGGGCGACAGCCGCTATACGGATCGCCAAAGTATTCAGGTAGACATGAGCACGAGCCGGCGCCATTGCGTTCGCGACAAACGGCGTTAGCGCCGCATGGACTGGGATTGCATGGATTGCGTGGCTCCTCGGTGGGTGTCACTGTAAGGTGAAAGAGAGGAGGGAAGAAGGTGTAAAAATATGGCCTGAAATTAGTAATTACAAACTAGACACTTGAGACACTTTAAAGCGGTATTGCAGTTAACTAGGGAAGTTTTTTTTTAAGAGAAAATCATTGAAATTTTTTTTCTCAGATGTGATGTATTTTGGAACAAATTCCAATAAGTCCTTGTGAGTTTGAGTTTAAGCCGCTTCGATGTTGTACCATCAAACGCATCAGATTATGAATGAAATTCTTTCCAAAATACATAATTTTCTCTCTTTCTCGGAATAGTCAAAAAACTCGCATGTCCAACTCGGCAGTGCTCAAGTGCCTAAATAAAAATGTTTATATTTATGTCGCTCGAAAGTATATACTTTTTACAATAGCACAGCCAGAGAAAGGATCTCCAGTATAGCCAATTTCACATTGACACGTAGGATTGTGTTTTATAACCGTACACTGTGTATGTACACCGCATGCGCCGATACAAGGATTTGTACATTTCTGATTGGTACATGCCAAATTAGCTGGACAATCTGAGCTACTTAGGCACTCGGGACGGCAGTTGGGCGGTCGCCCCAAGTAGGTAGGCAAGCAGGAACATGCAGGTGAACCGCCAACATCGAGACACTTCGAGTTGGGTCCACACGGTGAAGGTATACATGGATTACCAGGTTTAACTACTACAGAAGGCACGTCCACTACACACCCACAGAGGCAACAGGAAGATAGATGTTAAACACACAGGTAGGTAGGCAGTCAGGCGTTCAGGCAGCAGGCAGTGTTGGATAGGTTGTGTTCACAGTAGTAGTAGTAGTGTTTTCATAGTTGGTTGATAGTAAGTTTTCATAGTTTGGCATAGTTGTAAGTACAGTATATAGGTTTTACACAGGCAGAACACAAATATTTATATAGAAGAGATAAAAGTAGAGAAAATAACAAAAGAGAGAGAGAAAATACACAGTTGTTTAATGATACATGCAAGAAAATAAAGAAAGAGTTTAGGCAGGGAACCTTGCGGCAGAAGCGTGTCACCCACTTTGCTCTTAAAAGACAACTCAGAAGCGCACTTGTATCAAAGTTAAGCCAGCACACTTCCCTACTTCTGACGCCAAGTCCCCACCGCCGTATACTTTTCTCAAAAACTACACATGCTTACGTTTAATTTTAATACATCTACTGAAGGGATCCCCCGTATAACCCGGCGGGCAAGAGCACGCTGCATAATGGTTAATGACTTGACAACGTGCTTCGCTACTGCAGGTACCAGGACAGGGATCGATACATTTCTGATTTTGGCATGCAAGATTTTGTGCGCAGTCAGAGGAAACGATGCATTCGGGTTTACAATTCGGTGGAGAGCCAATAAAGTTCGTCTGACAGGAGCATACGGCATGACCATTCACCTCACGACATTGACTGTAGGGGCCGCATGGTGACGGGATGCAGGGATTAGTGTCTTTCGGGGCTGTGCGGGTAAAGAAAAAAGGTATTCGGTGGCATTAGTAAAAGGTTCGACTGGTTAGGTAGTTAGTAGGTTTATCATCTTGCATACTTGGAGCTGGCGGTAGTTGTGGTATTTCCCGGCAAGCGCTCAACGGGTTACCCGTGTAACCTTGTAGACAGTGGCAATTAGGCGCGTGATTGGAAACGCGGCATTCGGCATTCAAGCCACAAACACCTGGACAAGGATCGCTGCATTTATTGTTGACACAAGACTTATCACGTGGGCAATCAGAGTTCGCTATGCATTCGGGACGACAGCCGCTGTAGGGGTCACCAAAATATTCCGGCAGGCAGACGCATGAGCCGGCGCCATTACGTTCGCGACATTCAGCGTTGGGGCCACAGGGTGAGGGAATGCAAGGCGTTAGACGCTCTTCGGGTATTGCGGCTGCTAAAAGGGTTAACAAGTGAAGAAAAAGTTAGTCAGATTTACGCCGCCGATAACGAAATAGGCTGCGGTAATAGCTTACGCGTTGGATTGCAGCCGGCGAATGGATCGCCGGTGTAGCCAGTCTCACAACTGCATACAGGCGAGTGATTTACCACATTGCAGAAGGCATTGAAACCGCACGAACCAGGGCAGGGATCCTTGCAGCGCTCATTTATACAAGCCAAATTGGCTGGACATTCCGAACTGAGCGTGCATTCGGGACGACAATTGGGCGCGCGGCCCACGAAGTTCGGAAAGCAGGAGCAAACTGGGGTTTCGCCCACAGCGCGGCACTGTGAATTTGGACCGCATGGACTTGGTACGCATGGATTGGTTGGACGTGATGGCAAACGCGGTTCTTCGCCTAAGTGAGGCAAATACAATTAGAGTTAACGTTGAAGTGGGTAATGGAGTGTTTAGTGTCTTACTTGCAACAGGTAAGCAACGTATGAACGGGTCTCCTGAGTAGCCAGCTGGGCAAGTGCAAATCGGATTGTGGTTTGTTACCTTACAACGCGCTTCATTGCCGCAAGTACCCGGGCATGGACCTACACAGCGGAAATTCACGCAAGCCTTATCTTGCGCGCACTCGGAGCTAACCGAGCATTCGGGACGACAAGACGGCGGCGTACCAATATGGTTGGTAATGCACGAGCAGACCGCATGACCGTTTACTTCACGACATTGGCTATAAGGACCACATGGTGAAGGGCGGCATGGCTGCGCATCCAGCTCTGTAGAAAAATACATAGGGTTACTAAAGGGTTCTTCGAGATAAGTACTGAGTGAAAGGACTGTACGTTTTGGTTGTTCGCGACAATATTCCGAAGGGTTACCCGTGTAACCAGACGGACACCTGCAGCTTGGCGCATGATTAATAACGTGACATTCGGCACCTACGCCGCAGACGCCTGGACATGGATCGCGACATTTGGTGTTCATGCAGGCAAGATTTTTCGGACAGTCAGTGTTGAGGACACATTCGGGACGGCATTCAGTGTATGGGTCGCCAGTGTATTCGGGCAAGCAGGTGCAGGAACCGACGCCGTTGCGTTCTTTGCAAACAGCATTCGCGCCACAGGGGCTGGGATTGCAAGGCATGGAGATTTCAGGTGGTGCATGTACTAATTTGGGGGGAGGAATAAAGCGTTACAATACGTTTACCCATATAAATAAATTCTAACATGCGTTTTCTATAAATCATAAGCTTAAGCATTGCTATAACGGAAATCTTACTTTGCGGACTACATTCTGAGAAAGGATCACCCGTGTAACCTTCCAAGCAGCGGCATATTGGCCTATGATTATTTACAATACATGTCGTGTATGAACCACATGAGCCCTGGCAGGGGTCTTGACAGCGTTGATTGATGCAAGCCATATTGCCACGGCATTCCGAATTCGATGTGCATTCGGGTCGGCAATTCGGTGCTCTGCCGATGTAGTTGGGCAGACACGAGCACACAGCTTGACCGTTTGTATCCGAAACGCGACACTGTGAATTCGGGCCGCATGGCGATGGTATACATGGATTTATGGGATCTCTTATGATAGGACGTTCTACATATATATATATATATTATACATATATACAGCGTATAATATTCAACATGCAACCGGAAGAAAATGTCCACAAAAACGTA